TTTTTTTACAGTTGAAATGCTTTCTATTTAACGCTTGCACGCTTGGTAATCATTAATCCTTAAATACTCCAAGGCATACAGACGCTCAGACAGGTAACAAATGTATGAACTGGGGCCAAATGTAAAGCAGTAAGAAGTAGTAAGGCCTATATTGAACTGAAATGCATGAGCCACCTAAAGTATTTCAAATATACATGTGTGTGTAAAATAACTGAATAATAACTGAATAAAAAATTTTAAAAAATTAAAGCACAATGAATCAACTGAAAAAAAATGAATATGCCAAACAAAACTAAACTTGCCCACCGAGCTTTAAGTCATTTTTGGCCAGGCCTTATTAGCCACTCCTTCATCCAAGGCAGCTCTAAAGGTGTTTCCAGTCCTACGATTTTGCTTTCACAGGCTTGTCAGGCCAGGACCTGAGGAAAGACCATCTTGAAGGAAGGGGTAGATTACTTCCACCTTGTTGTGAAGGGGAAGAAGGGAAATGGGGTGAGTTTGTCAGGAATAAAATTGGAAGGCAGATGTCCAGGAGGCTGCTAAGGGCCATCTCTAGAAGAGAATCATGACTTTAGGTCAACTCCAAACACTCAAGAAATCTTACAAAAAGTTGTTTTTTTTTTTTAAACTTCTCTGTACACAGAACTATACTGATATTTTCTTAACATAAAACATTCCTTCCACTATTTAAACCCTCCAATGGCTCCCAAAGCACTTAAATACAGTCTAAGTTACTTCCTCTCCCTGCAAAGCCCTCAGAACACTGCTGACCTCATCCCCACCTCTTTTAACACACACACCTGCTCCCTACTACTTAAACACACAAAACTCCTTCTCACCTGAGGGCCTTTGCACACACTGTTTCAGCCGTCTGTAATGTTCTTCCCCTGGATCTACACTTGGTTTGCTCCTTATTACTTGGGTCCCAAGTGTTAGTACCTTAGCGGCCTTTTCTGACCACCCAATCTTTAGTTTCTTCCAGGCACCAGCTCTTACTCCACCTGCTTTAATTACAGCCCTTGTTACAACCAGACATGTGTTTTCCACACTAGAATGACAGCAAGGGCCTTCTCTATCTTGTTAGGACTACATCACCAGGACCCAAGAGTGCCTGGCACATGACAGGTGCTCAAGAAATGTTCACTGACATGTTCACCATGTTTATTTTGCTACCCTATCTCTTTCTTTGTAAACATTGGTGGCAGACCCTTAAAAAGAGGTGGTGTGTTTGTCTCCAGAGCTGGCAAAGAAGGGGATCAGAGGACACAAAACTTCACTCTGAAACCAAATTGTATTTTACTGTAACAGTAACTACCATTTATTGAAAAATTCCATGCCACACTCAATGCAAGATGCTTTTATGTGTATCTCATTTAATTTCCACAATAAACCTAGGAAGCTATAAATTATTTCCATTTTATAGGCTTAAAAAACTGAAGTTTGGTGATTTAAAATGGTGACTTGCCTGTGATCACTTATCTTACAAATGACAGAACTAGGATTCATACTCAGGTTTGTCTGACTCCAATGTTGTGCTTGCTGTCTTATGGTGAGGACCCAAGAACCAAAATGGGTGGTGGTAGTTGGGTGAGAAGAGGAAAGGCCAGCGGACTCCCTGGGGTCTGGACCTAAAATGCAGCTGCAAAGGACAAAGGCTCTCAGTGGGCTCTTGTATTAAATAAGAAAGTATATGAAAGCAAGCCGTAGCTCAAGGTGTATCAAGTTCCTTCCCCTTCACCAACTTTTCAATAGCTTCTCCTTACTTTCAGAGAAGTCTCTAGCTAGGAGGTGCATGAAGGCTCCAACAAAGAAACCTCTGGGTCTTCTACCTTGTTCACCATTTAACTCCTTGCCACGCTCAAAACTTGGAGCCTCGCGGGGCACCTGGGTGGCTCGGTCAGTTAAGCAACTGCCTTCGGCTCAGGTCATGATCCCAGGGTCCTGGGACCGAGCCCCACATTGGGCTCCCTGCTCAGCGGGAAGTCTGCTTCTCCCTCTCCCACTCCCCCTGCTTGTGGTCCCTCTCTCACTGTGTCTCTGTCAAATAAATAAATAAAATCTTAAAAAAAAAAAAACAACAACTCGGAGCCTCGCTTTCCTGAGTGTGTTCCCAGATGATCACAGAAGGTGTTCAACACATTAATGGCTGAATGAATCGAGTAAAAAGGTTTCCTGCAGGAATTTGTGGAGTCCCTAATATGCTAATATTCACCTTGAGTCTTTTTTTTTTTTTTTTTCACCTTGAGTCTTGAGACAGGGTAGATTTCAGATCCCAAACATATATGACCAAACATTTTTTTTGAGGTACACCTTACAGGAGTGTTCCCAGGGTCTCCTCTCCATGTCCCACATCTTCTGTCTCAGATTTCAACCCTCTCCTGTCTATTCCCATTTGCTCTCCCTGAGCTGGAGCTTCCTTGCCCCATATCTGGGCTTTTGAAACAGGTTGCTAAAGTGATCTCCTTGGGGCACCTGGGTGGCTCAGTTAAGCGTCTGCCCTCAGCTCAGGTCATGATCTCAGGGTCCTAGGATCAAGCCCCGCATCGGGCTCTCTGCTCAGCAGGAAGCCTTCTTCTCCCTCTCCCACTGCCCCTGCTTGTGTTCCCTCTCTCGCTCTGTCTCTCTCTGTCAAATAAATAAATAAAATCTTTAAAAAATAAATAAATAAAATAAAGTGATCTTCTTGTTCCTAAACTCCCCTTCCACCAAGTCACCTAAATGTTCCTGCCACATTCACCAAGTTATCATTTTTTTTTTTAAAGATTTTATTTATTTATTTGAGAGAGAGAGAATGAGAGAGAGAGCACGAGAGGGAAGAGGGCAGAGGGAGAAGCAGACCCCCTAACGAGCAGGGAGCCCGATGTGGGACTCGATCTCGGGACTCCAGGATCATGACCTGAGCCGAAGGCAGTCGCTTAACCAACTGAGCCACCCAGGCGCCCACCAAGTTATCATTTCACTCTCTCATGTAAGAATTGCCACTGGAGCCAACTGCCCACTGGCTAACTTCAACCCTCCTGGCCCTACTGGGCCTGCCGTTCCCCCCTCCTTGGGCTTTAATGCACTTGATTTTTTTTTTTTTTTTTTAAGATTTTATTTATTTATTTGACAAAGAGAGACACAGTGAGAGAAAGAACACAAGCAGGGGGAGTGGAAGAGGGAGAAGCAGGCTTCCCGCCAAGCAGGGAGCCCAATGCGGGGCTCGATCCCAGGACCTTGGGATCGACCTGAGCCGAAGGCAGACGCTTAACGACTGAGCCACCCAGGCGCCCCTTTTAGTGCACTTCAGACACCACGACCATGTGGGCCTCTATTCTTTCATCCTGTTTCCTGTTCCAAGCCAAATCCTAAAGCTTCTTCAAGGTCAATGTCACATCCTACTTCTTCCATGGACCCTTTCCTGGCTTCTGTGTGGAAAACACAGGGAGATGGGGAGGACCACACAGCATCCCAGCAAGCAGCAGCAACACTAACTGTGTGATTTACTCTCCGTGCCTGCGGGCTTATCTGCAACAATGGGAATAATCCCCATCTTACAAGACCATTAAAGAATTCCATTATCTTATACGTGTCCAACCAAATAGCAAATTCCCGAAGCACAGGGGATGGCTCTTCTACTCTGCAGCCCTCACGGCAAAGCAGTGGCAACTGAATAAACATGCGTTGGCCTAGATGATATCACTACAGGGAATGCAGAGAATGGCCTCCATCTCATTCCTAGAGTGGTCATTTGAATAAGTGGGGTCCGCCCAGTGGGCCATTATACCAGTACTCGTTTCTATTTAACCCTAACCAGGTGCCCACTGTGTTAGCTACTCTTATGAGCTTTATCTCTTAATCCTTCCAATAGTCTTAAGACAGAACTTAATCCCACAGTGTTAATAAGGAAGCTGAGATGCAGCGTGGCCACGGTGACTTGCACAGCCCTGTGCAGCTGGTGAGGGCTACAGAGCTCTAGGATCCAACCCCTACACCTAATACACTCAATGGTCTCCTGGACAGTTTGACACACGGGTCCCACTGAACTCCATGGCATCCTGTTCTGTGATTCTTTTCCTGAGACTCCTTGGCAAACTCCTGTTCAGGACGGTCTTCATGATTTGGATAGAAGGTCTGGACTTAGAAAGCAAGCCTCTCACTTCTGTTGTCACAGCCACAGGTTAGAGCCATGGGATCTGAAGTGATCTCCAAGTGAGAAAATGGGCTGGCTCTAGCCAGGTCTCACTAATGCCTATACCCTCAGGTGAGTTCCTGGTCCTCCCTGGTGGTTATTCCTGTGTCCGGCTACGGTGAGGATTTCAGATTTTAACAAAAAGGAGATGTGGAGACATTCACCAAGATTCCTTTTCTCAGGGCGCCTGGGTGGCTCAGTCATTAAGTGTCTGCCTTTGGCTCGGGTCATGATCCCAAGGTCCTGGGATTGAGCCCCATGTCGGGCTCCCTGCTCAGTGGAAAGCCTGTTTCTCCCTCTCCCACTCCCCCTACTTGTGTTCTCTCTCTCGCTCTATCTGTCAAATAAATAAATAAAATCTTAAAAAAAAAAAAGATTCCTTTTCTCTCCTAATTATTATTTTCCTTTTTATCACATCTGAAGAAATGTGACCTTAGAAAATATGTCTCAGAACTTCATGATGTGTCTTTAAATTATTAAATATATAAAGCACAGATCACTGGGCCAGGCACATCGATGAACTCTTAAGTACTGGCAATGATGATGATGTGTTTGCCTGGTCCTTGGACAAAATGATTTAAATCTCTAGAGGCTAACACTCTATACCTTTTAGCAATTTACCAACACCACACCTTTAAATGTGGCTCCTTTCACTTGCTCAGGGACCTTTTAATGGGGAGGTTAGACTTCTCCTCTGTGGTAGAAGAATGCTGGTTGTTCACCAATATCTAAAATCTCTTTGTCCCGTCCAGCTTGCATTAGAGTTTTCGAGTGGTACCAACCTAGTTTTCATCTATTTAGATTTTAATAGCTATTTTTTTTTTTGCAGGGGGGTGCATACCCAGCTGCGAGAACATTTAATCACTGAACAATTGAGATGAGTCTTTGAAAATGGTTTGAGGCTGAGGATTTTCCAAACAACTCAGCAAAGCTGCTACTACATCATTTGACGTCTAAATCCTTCCTTTTTCAAAGCACAGGCACATATATGATGAGATGTACGAGATCAAATATCCACATCTGTATATGTGCACGATGACAGCTGCCCAGTTTCTGAGCTTTTCTCTAATTTCACACACATGTTGAAAACTGATCCTTTTTAAACCAGTGACCTCTTCTGCTCACTGTGGTTCTTACCACTATGTTCAAATCCTGGACTGAGACTCTGCCACCTTGACTCCTCTCTTCCCTATCACCATGCTGCTGGGCCACTGGCTTTAGTTTTTTCTTAGTCCCTACTCATTTCTGTTCCAAACATGAGTCATCTTATATCCACAACTACTCAAACTCCACCCTGCTTTTGTATTTCTCCTTTTTTATCTGGCTAAAATTCAACTGCTAAGATGAACTTCCTCTCAACAAACAGCATTCATCAAAATTTTTCTCCCATTTCTCCCATTCATCAGCCCCATCTTCCAAAGGGCATAAAACTTTGTATCTGAGAATTTAAAATTATCTAGTTTAACCTGCCAACATTACTATTCTTTCCATTAAGATCCAAACATCAGGGGCGCCTGGGTGGCTCAGTCGTTAAGCGTCTGCCTTCGGCTCAGGTCATGATCCCAGGGTCCTGGGATCGAGCCCCGCATCGGGCTCCCTGCTCGGCGGGAAGCCTGCTTCTCCCTCTCCCAGTCCCCCTGCTTGTGTTCCCTCTCTCACTGTCTCTCTGTCAAATAAATAAACAAAATCTTAAAAAAAAAAAAAAATCCAAACATCATCTTTTCCCTTTCAAACGGCTCTAAATTCCAAGGTTCTAACTTCACTTAAGTTTATTCTCCAAGGTCTGGTCAATGTAGAGCCTGGGATGTACTTAGCAGCTGAGTCCTGTTCAACTTGTTTCCTCTACAGTGCCTAGCAGTGCTTGGCACAGGGCAAGCCGCTAGTAAATGTTTGTTTATAAAATTCCCTCTTCTCCCTTTCCTCTGATCCCTTTCATGCTTGTTTCTATCCACACTGAATCTTTCCAGACAAAATGCTCTACATAGAATTCTGCCTCTGGAGTGGAAGCTGAGTGTATTTGCTATTGCTATTACTTTGAGATGGATCTTTACCTTGTGCTGACAGGAAACTGGGGAGTGTAGTACAAATTTTCTAGAGCTTTAGTGGCCAGGAATAGAACTCTGGTTCCATGTGAGTGTTTAGCAAATATTTAGCATTCTTTCATTCAGGGGAAACACAACTAACTGCAACGGTTATCCGCAAACAGCAATTATCCACAAACAGCTTATAATCATAGTCCGTATCTTTAGACCCAGGCCCAACTTACTAGCAGCGTGAACGGGTACTGATCATACCATTGCTCTGACATGCCTTTCCAATACTCAGGAAGTAGCAGAGCAGACGAGTTGCTGTGTCCATCCAGACACTGCAGAACTAATTCTCAAACCCTTTGATAAAAGAATTTTAGAACATCAAAGTAGAGAGAGAAAAGGCTGAACTTCTATCAACCTGTCAGGTAGCATTTAGCAAAGTGGGTATAAAAGGCCATCGAGAATGAAGTAGAAAGGGGAAGAGATCTAGAGTCAGCTTCAAATCATAGCTTTGCTATTTAGAAGCTATTTGGGCAAACTACCTGACCTTTCTGTCTGTTGCTCTATCAGTAAACTAGAGACAGTAAAATAACTGCTGGGGAGGGCTATACAAAGCAACCTATGAAAAGCACCACGGTCAGCACATGGCTGCATAGAAAAACTGAGCACTGTGTATAGCTGAGCACCTTCCTTATAAAACCCACAGCATTCCACCTCTGAGGAGAGGTGACTGAGTGTGTACAGCTCTCGTCCCCCTTCGGGACTGTAACCGCTTGGGGGCAGGACTTGAGAGGCATTACAGCCTAGTGATCAACAGCACAGATACAAACCTGAATTCAAACTCGGCTCCATCTCTTGTCATGTTACCTCAGGCAAATTACTTCTCTGAGCCCTGCCTATGTCCATAAAATGGAAATAACACATATTCCATGGGATCGTTGAGGGCATCACACAACTGAGGCTTTTAGCACTGTGCCTTGTCTATATAGTAAGTGCTCAATCAACGAGGGTGATTATTTTTCCCATCTCTGCGTCCCTTATAACTGCTAACATCTAGCTAATAATACCTGTTGGTTCGAAGGTTTATGTAGCTGAGACACTGCCCCACCCACAGAAATTCATAAATAGCAAACAGTGTAAAAATGCCAAGGAGAAGGTCCCCTACCTCTGGAAAATCTCTTGCAGCGTTTCCCGGGTGAAAGCATTGCTGTCCTGGAAGACGTTATTGAGGGCATGCAGGGCACAAAGCTCCCTGCGCTGTTTCTCATGGTAGATTTGTGGGGGTGCTGCCTGAGGCAGCTCCAAAGATTCAGATTTGGCCTTGTCTCCTTTCCATGGCACGCAACTCATGTTTTCGTTTTAGGTTCCAGAGAGGACTAAAAACACCCCACCCTTCCCTCCAGAGGAAGAATGTAAGCTTCTCAGTCTTTTCAGGATTCCTGAGGTCCACCTTATTTTCTGGTCTCCATGATTTATGCTTTGTCACGGGGAGAAAGGTTGGAATCAAAAGGAAAAAAAAAAATCCACCTCCATCAACAGAAAGATCACTTTCGGATTAGTGTATTTCGCCACCACTGTCAAAGTGCAGAATTTTTAAAAAATCATAGACGATCTAAGACCTTGTTTCCCTTCTCCCACCCTCCCCTCCAAAAAAAAAAAAACCAACAAAAAACAAAAAACCCACGATTTTCTTGCCGTATTTTCCTCTCTGCAAATGCCAACCAGACCTCAATGCAGGAGGACCGAACGAAATTGGTCACATCGCTCCTTTTCTTCCATTTCTTTCAAACCGCAACGCCACTGACTCAGGAGACAAGGCCTAGGTGGTGGGTAAAATGCAAAATTCGAGCCGCTAGCGAGGGCCGGCCAGCGTGGGATCGCGGGCCGAGCCGGGGCCTCGGGGTCGGCTCTCCATCCCCTCTGGTGCGGCGGGGCCCCGCAGGACACGGGCCGAGGCGGGGGCGGCTCCCTCGGAACGCGCGGACTCTCACCCTCTCGCCGCGGCCCTGCGGAGGAAACAACCCCGGTCAGCTCCGGCGGTCAAGCGGGCCGCCGCGGAGAACCAGGCTGGCGGGGGGGCGGGGCGGGGCGGGGCGGGGCGGGGCGGGGCGGGGCGGGCCCGGCCCCAGCCCGAGGGAAGGTCCTGCGCAGCGACTGGCAGGCCCGCGAGGGGTGGGGTCGGGCCCACCCGGCTCGCCTCGCCGCCCACACCCCAACCTCCCCGCCCGTCACGTGAGTGCAAGCCGACACGCCCTCCCGCCGCTGCCCCCAGCCACGCCGCGGGTCGCCCCCTCACCGCTGCAGGCCACCCCCTGGCGCTGCGGGCCGCCACCTGGGCCGCGCTCGGGCGGGCGGGCAAGCGCGCGCACCTGAGCCCGACGTCAGCCGCCCTCGCCGGGCGCGTGCTCCGGAAACGCCCTCCTGCGCCGTCCCCGCTCCCGCCCGCCGCGGCGTCACGTGTGACGTCAGCCTGTCGTCAGGCGGCGCCGGCTTTAAGGCTGGGGCTGCCGGCCGTCGGTTGAGTGGGAGTGGGTGGCCTTGAGGGGAGGCGGCCTGGGGCTGTGGGCCGTGAGCCGTAGAGCGTGGCGGCGGCGGCGGCCGCTAGAGCTGGTGCCCGGCTCCTGGGTTCGGTTCTTTCCGGGGCTGGGTAGGGCGGGGCGGCCGGCGGGAGTCTCGCCTCGACGCCCGCCGCTCCCCACCCCTCCCCGGGCATCGGCGCCGTTCCGGGTTGGCGACCCGGCCTGCGGCTGCACTTCGCCGTCCTCCCCTCCCTTTTCCCTCTGTGGGCCGGGCTTCTCGAGCGGAGTGCTTTCGAGAACCTGGATTAGCTACTCCTTCGTTGACCGTTTTCTGTCTGGCGCGCTGTTCACCAGGTGACCTGATGCGGCCGGGAGTAAATTGTCTTGGTTAGCGGGCCCGGCCGCCTCGCACTTGCCTGGGAGCCCCGAGGGTAAGTGCCTCGCCCGGAGTCAGATTTCAAGGGAAGTGGAGAGTCCTGTTTCAGTGGTGTCGAATTCTGTGCACTACCCACTGACCACTGTCCTCTTGCCCTCGGGCTCCCACCTCACGGTGGCTGACACAGAACTTTACTCCCTGGATTTTTTCAAGGTGTTACCGTGTGTCAGGAAGGTAAACACCCAGTTCCGTGTAGACTTTTTTCCCTTTACCTACTTCTAGGTCATGTGGAAGGCATTATCTACCCTAGCTGCCCTTCTTTGGGATTTTTGTGCAGAGAATTGGAAAAACCGGTTACACAATTCAGGCATTTCTTTGACCTTGCTATACAACACGACTCTCCTAACACCATGACACTCACGACAGTTACCACTTTTAACACACGCCTGAGTGCTTACCATATGGTTGGGAGTCCTGCCCTAATCCAGACAACTTTTGAATTACCTTAAATTTTTGTAATTTGTAAGCCACCTAAGGGTTGCAGTTATATTTTCATAAGATTAGGCTTACAACACAGGTTTGTAAGACAGTCTTGCAAGCACTGTTCATTTATTTATAGCTAACTATGCAGCTGCTTTTTTTTTTTCCCCAGAGTAGACAACTGAATCTCAGAGTTAATTAACTTGTTTCAGGTCACACAGCTAGTAAGTAGTAGGCCCAGAGTTGGAACCGGAACTCTAGAACGTTTTCAGAAAGAGGATGTAAAAATGGGTAGGGAATTCCCTTCCCAAAATGTAATTTTAGATTTCTCTGTGTAAGAAGCACCTACTCTTGACAGAGTGTTTTTTTATGGGCAAGCCCTATAGTGAGAACGACATGGTTTTTTTTAGTCTACCAATAGGTGTCAGCACATTCTGAACTTAAGCTCTTTCTGGAAGAGCCAATCGGTAAGATGGTAAATACCAATTATTATTCTAGAGTACTAAGGCTTGATATTTGGCTTTCCTGCCAAATCAAGATTTTAATGTTTTTAACTACCTCATAGAGGCATATATAGGATAGTGGTGAGCAATTTAGGCAGAAAAAGAAAAAAAAAGCATTCGAAGAGCTATTATCAAGACCTTTGGAGTTGAAGACTTCTTGTCCCAAATTCCCAGCTGTGTTTGTGCACATAAAACTTGATTGTATAAAAAAAAAAAAAATTGTTGAAAACAGGAGCAAGCAGAGGTTGCCTTTTTTTCCCCAGGTGTATCCCTGAAAAACTGAAGGCCATTTTGAACCCTGACTCTTACTAAATCCTGTGTTCCAAACCCTAAATCTTGGCTGTGTTACCATCTCAATGGCTGCTCTTTCTTGATTGCTGCCTGGGACGAGTGGCCAAGGCCAGCATTATGCGAATGTTAGCTAATCCCTCATTTTATCAAGCTTTTCAGACTTTATTTTTTTAAATTATTTATTTATTTGACAGAGAAAGGGCACAAGTAGGTAGAGTGAGAAGGAGAAGCAGGCTCCTCACTGAGCAGTGAGCCTGATGTGGGACTTGATCCCAGCACCCTGGAGTCATGACCTGAGCCAAAGGCAGACGCTCAACTGACTGAGCAACCCAGGCGTCTCGCTTTTCAGACTTTTGAGACGGGGAAAGACACCTAAAACTTGTGCTGATGGTATTGCAGATTGGGACTTTCCACAACTGATGATACTCTGGAAAAATCACCCATGGGAAACTACCCTAACAGACCCTAGATCTCAGCTTCACAGTTCACAAATGTGGCGAGGTACTTTGGACTTGTGTTTTAGCTGGTTGCCTCTTTTTGGCCCTGTAATTGCTCTCTCCGCAGAGGCGGTGAATGGAGAATTCTCCCTAAGGTCAGCGTTTAATTAATTGCCTCGCTTTGGCTGCTATAGTATTCCAAGCATCGATCCTTCTTTTTAAAATTGTCTGGAGGTTGCCAGCACATCCGACCTCGGTCTTCCAGGGACTGCCGGGAGTCACTGAGAGGAGGGAGGCGCCTTGTGCAGTTTACTATCTCGGTGGGCGGTGGCCCGAGGCGCGGGACCGATCGGGTGACTAGATTGGGCCTTGCCCCTGTCCATCATCGGAAGGCTCTCCGCGATGACTGTTTTGCAGTAAGATTTGGAAACTGAACACCGCCTATGGAAAAGAGGGAGGTGAGGGTAAACGTTGTGCGTATTTCCCCATTCATTGGATGGCTGCTGTGTCAGTCATACTCTGCCCAGTCTCGTTGGCTGGAAGGCTCCAGGCAGGTAGCGTGGACGCGGTGCTGCCCCCTCCTGAGCTGCGAACTAGGCGCGTGACGTCTCAGACATTTGTTGTTGGGGTTTGGGCCTCATTAATTATTCATCAGGTACTTGAAAGGGCTGCAGTGATTGGTAGCTGAGAGGCCTGGTCGATTGTTTCTTAGCTAGAGATACGTGTCACCCTCTACGCGGCTGGAGAAGTTTCGCATAAATTATCCGATGAGGGGCGGGGCGGGGCCACGCATACATTAGGCAAATACGCCGAGGAGGGAGGGGAGGCCGGCTACGAATTAGCCTAAGTTATTAAAGATGGCGGCGGAGCGGAGTCGCTCCCCGATGGACTCGCCGGTCCCGGCCTCTATGTTCGCCCCCGAACCCAGCTCCCCGGGGGCGGCCAGGGCCGCGGCGGTTGCCGCCCGGCTCCACGGCGGCTTCGACTCGGACTGCAGCGAAGACGGCGAGGCGCTCAACGGCGAGCCGGAGCTGGACCTCACCAGCAAGGTAGGCCCGGGCGCCGGCGGCGGCGCTGAGGGGACCGGGCGGGCGCTGAGGGGACCGGGCGGCGGGCCGAGCCGTCTCCGGGGCGACGGCGACGGCGCCGGTGGGGGCGGGAGGGGCCGCGCCGAGCCCGCCCACCTCCCGGTGCGGGAAGCGTCTGGGGCTCCCGGGCGACGGGCGGCCCCCGAGGGCCGCGCACCGCCGTCCTCTCCCGGCGGCGCCTACCCGGCCTCCCACCGTCCGGCTCCCGCCGAGATCACAACCCCTCGGCTCCGCCACGTGGAACAGGGGCGCCCGACGCCCGGAGCGCCCCGCGCGGTCGCCGTCCCCGAGCAGTGCCGACTCCCCCGAGACTGAGGGGGTGGTCCTCTCCCTGCACTGGCCACGCCGCGGAGAGTCGGAGGTGGCTGAGGCAGGGGGAGCGGAGGCGCGGGAGGATCAGGCAGCCCCGCGGGGAGCAGGAAGGCCGCCGGGGCTCTTCCTGGTCTCGGAAGAGGAGACGGAAAGTAGTTGCTCAGTCGCGGAGACGGTTGTCTGAGGAATTCAAAACTGAAAGATGGGCAGGACCCATAAACTCGCCATACTGGGAGTGGAACCTCATCTTGTATGAATGGAATAATGAAGGACCTTTTAAATCGGGGCTTCTGAGCTTGTGAGAAGGTAGGCAGGAATTAAGGGCTCAGCTTCTGCTTGGCATTGTGAGGATGAAAAAGTAAGTATAGGATGTGACTGGTGTTTTGAAGATGCTTAAAACATCGCTAAAGGAAAGAACGCCAACTTGGGAGTCAGACTGGGCTGGGTTCCCTTTCCTGCCCCGCCACTTAAAAAGGCTCTGTGACCTTGGGAAAGTTTCTTAACCTCTCGGTTTTCCAGCTCCATCTTTTTAAAAGTACAGATGTGTTGTAAAAATGAGAAATGTATATGACATTTAAGAAAACAAAAACAAAAAACAACAGGCCCAAGATGGGGTCATTTGCCCCCTGGACTACAGACCAGTACTTAGTTGCAGCTTCACCCTCTCCCAGGAGTGAAATTTCTTGGTCAGCACTAGCGAGGTAATCTGCCTGATAAAACCCCCTGCCTTTCCTAAAGGGAAGGTAACCGTGCCTGAAATGACCCTTTCCTTTCTTTCCCTAATAACCTTGTCTCACCCCCTTTCTGCCTTAAAATCTTTGGTTTTGGTACAGCTACTTGGAACTGCTTTCTCCTTGCTCAGTAGGGTGCTGCCTGATTAATGAATTTAGAATAAAGCCAGTTAGATTTTGAAATGTACTGGATTGAATTTTGTTTTCTGTCCGACACCTAGTGCAGTGCCTGATACGTACTACTGAGTAAATGTTTAAAGTGAACCAAATAACTGGTAATTCCCTGTGCAGATTCAATAGCAGCCGAGGAAGGGAGAACACCAACGCCACCTCCTACCTGTTGTTGGATAGTTACAATAAAAAGACGTTTATAGAGCATTGAAAACATTTGCGAGTTTTCAAGGTCTGTGGTGGCAAAACTGCATGAAACTTGACCCAAACTGGAGAGAAGTTCCCTTGCAACCTAGGCAGCCAAATTTCAACTCTTCTCTCTCCCTCTAGTCGCAGTTGCCTACTAAGAAACCAGCTATCTGCCTTATTACAATTTTCCTGTCTGATGGCTCTACTGCCACAATGAGAATGGCCAAGCTCAGAGGGGGGGATGATCAGAGGAAGTGTGTGAGGTGATGTGACATGATGCAAAAGACCCAGATAGCACCCAGGTTACAAGTATAAGCCCTAATGAGTCAACTCAGGAAATTGTAAAAAATGCACTTGATTCAAAAGCAGATGAGTTGGATGTCAATTCATGGTCAAGGTGCTGAAGAATCCTGAAAACACAGTGGGAAATTGCAAGGCAAAGTTGCAAAGAGAGTAGTACCTTCATTTCCTGACCAACTTATTTAGCGTTCTGGGATAGGGAAGTGTTACTTCATCACATAGCTGGGGAAGTCCTCCTCACTGTTTTAAAGTTGAGAAGCTATATGTATATAAATTTTGATGATACTGAAAAGAAAAACTGAGAATGTGGAGGGGGAGAAGTGATGTGTTGAATAGATTGATTCCTGAGGAGAAGCCTAGAAGCTATAAGTTTATACACTTGCTACAATTAGCTGTGGAGACGGAAAGTTCTGAGAGCTCTCAAAGGGAGAAACAATTAGAGGACTGTAGCGGCTAGTTTCATCCAAGAAGGTTTTTCTAGGAATGATTGGGTGAAGGAAACTAATTACCACTTACTGAGGTGTGGACTAGATGGTTTGCCTGTTATTTTACTTGGTCTGTACAGTGTGTTTAGGATGCAGGTAGTATAATCTCTATTTGTAGATTGAAAAACTGAGACTCAGAGAGGTTAAGTTCTTTGTCCAAGGTCACACACTAGTAGTCAGAAGATGGAATTGGCCTCCCCAAATAAATAGTTCATATTTTAATGTTATTGGCAGAAATTTGCAAAATGATGGTGCTAATACCCATCTTAGTGGTAATGGTGTTTTGTTGATGAAGATGAGTCTTGCAGCAGTTTTAACTGTTGATTCCTAAATAATCAAGTTAGCCAAGGCAAGGTGGAACAGAATTCTTTTGTTACTGTAAGAACCATTGGCCTTGGGGGAGGGCATGGCAGTGTATGAGATCTCTGTCCTGTGAACTGCAAGCCGCAAGGTGGAAGACTTTGACATGTAGGTAATAAAGCACTGCTCATCAGTTTCTGTCCACAGTCCAGATTCTCAGTTATTGTGGGTCCTGCCCCTCCTGTTAAGCAGCAGGAAGCTGGCTCCTCTCACCCTCTTTTCTGTGGTTGTGGTTCAGACATACTCGTTTTAGTATATCATGTAACTTAACTCATAGAAGGCTTAGGCTCAAAGTCTATTTCAGGAAAGGCAGAGAGGGCATGAGGGGGCTGCGTAGCTATTTTAGATCAGGGTGCTGTGGGGGTTCAGTCAGGGTCTTTGGTCAGGCTATTGATCTGCTTTGGCTGTGGTGCTCTTTAGTAAGTGTGGTCTTAAGGCTGTTGGTTTCTCTTCTAGCTGGTTCTAGTGAGCCCTACATCAGAGCAGTATGACAGCCTACTTCGGCAGATGTGGGAGAGGATGGACGAGGGATGCGGAGAGACCATATATGTCATTGGGCAGGGATCAGGTGAGCATAGTTTTCCTTTCGCTTTATTTTTAAAAAATTATTTAGAGCACATTTTCCCTCTTTTATTGACTTCCTGTTCGTGTGTCTCAGTTGCAGTGATTCTTTAGTATCTGCAGAACTGTTTGGGAGGACATTAAAGTACAAAATGATAATGCTAATTCCCACGTTAGTGGTCATAATATGCTTGACTTCAAAGATTCACTTTCCAGGCGGTTTTACAGATGTTTCTTTTCTACCTCCAGTACTCTCAATTTGTATAAAGGGAAAGCACAAAGCAAGAAAACTTCTTATCTCAGGTAATAGAGAAAATCACAGTTAGGTATACAAAGAAGCCTCCCTTGCGAAGCTCTAGGTCTTCCCTCTCCAGGCCTGGTTTACAGATTCCATTGCTACTTATTGCCTGCTTCACAGAGAACCTTTGTGATTCTTCTTGACGTCCGCAAGAAAGGGACACCCAGAATTCCTCTCTTCAGCAAGGCTACCTTGCCTCAGACCACAGTGACCATTCAGTGTGGATAGTTGTGATAACAGAAGTCCTCTTTTCGTCTCTATGAGATCCTGTCAGATATGTAGCCTTGTTACCATTCTGGAAGGGGCCGATTAATGTTCTCCAGCCTACTTATTCCATTGTAATGGGGTCCACTGTTTTAGAGGAAGGCAGTCCCCGTTGCAGATTGTATCTTGGGCTTTTGTTTTTTTGGGTTTGGGTTTTTTTTTTGGTTCTAGTTTATAACCTCGATACAAGGCCTACTTACCCTTACTTCATTACGGCATTATCTTTGCTGAAATGGCAGCTGGGCTTGTTAACAATTACGAATTTAGTACCAGAACTTGTCTCTGTCATCTTTGCAGGTTGCAGGAAGCCTTGGTGGGCCTTGATGCATCAGTAAAGGAACAGTTCTTTGCTGAATGTAGGCTTTGTGAAGGCAGGTAATAATTCCTTTTAGTCTAAGATGGAGAAAAATCTCAGAATCATTCTTTAACTATTTGACAGCTATCTATTAAGTATCTTCCAAGGGCTTGATACTGTTGCAAAGTATTTTTGGATACTTAGAATCTGGTCTCTGTCCCAGAAAGATGGCATATACATAGATAACTTCAGTAGAAAATAATATTTGGAAATGCTGCAAGATTGACACATGGAAGAAGGGTTTGATCTCCAAATACTGCTGTGCCTTCCTTTGAAATGTCTCTCCTATCTATCCCTTTCATTCCATCCTTGCTGCCACCTTCCTGTTTGGGTCTTATCACTTGAAAGAAAGCATGGTCAGAGAGATAGGCAAACTGAGAGGTTGCCTGTCAAAAAGGGGAGGAAATTGGTCAGCATTGTCAAGTGCTAGAGACAGCAAGGAGAGTCAGGTTCAGAAAAAGCCATTCTGTTTGGTGGCTAGGGCATTGTTGGTAGCCTTTTGAAAGCTTTTGTTCAGGTGCACATCTGGCCCGCTGGTAATAGGATGAACCACTCCAAGGCCACTTCATGCTTGTAGAATTGAAGAAACCACATCTAGATCAATTTTGACAAGTGTTGGGACTGTTCTTTGATGATCTAAATTCTTAAGACCCCACCCTTTCCCACTTATTCTTTAATGTGGACTCTTAGTGAATTTTACCATGCCTTGGCAACTCACAACTAATTAACCGTCCAATGGCAAAGCATAAGAAAATGTCAGATATTCATTATCACATCTCCTGTACACCCAGGCATTATCTTTGCATCTACCATTTGGATGCTATTACATTAACAGTGACTCCTTCCTGCTGGAATTCTTTAGAGGGAGAAAGAGATCGTAACTAGTTAAACAAGTTGAACATCAGAGGACTAAACCAGGTGCAAGGCCCCCAGGGATCAGCTTCATTACTGAATTCCTGTGCTTGGTGCTTCACCTCTGTTTGTCTCTTCCTTCATCTGTAAAATGGGGATAATGACATACTTACCCACCCTACCTCAGAGCGATTTTGTATGGGTAAGTTAGGTGTTAAAAAATTCTAAGCAGAGTAATGTGCTCTTTAAGTATACATTCCTAATTTTAAAAAGAGGCAGTGTGGCCTGATAGTTCAGGGTCTGGAGCCTGGTAGGTCTGCATTTGCCTGTTGGCTCTTTTCCTTGTCTGAAAATGGGGTTAATAATAGAATCTATCCCATGGTGTCATGGTGAAGATTAATACTTGACATACAGTAAGCATTATATAAATGTTACTTAGTATTAGTAATTGCAGTAATAATTTTTTTTTAAGATTTTTTTTTTTTTTTGACAGAGAGAGACAGCAAGAGAGGGAACACAAACAGGGGGGGTGGGAGAGGGAGAAGCAGGCTTCCCGCTAAGCAGGAGCCCAATGCAGGGCTCGATCCCAGGACCCTGGGATCATGACCTGAGCCGAAGGCAGATGCTTAACAACTGAGCCACCCAGGCGCCCTGCAGTAATAAGTTTTTAAAGATTCCAGGTTATAGTTGATTTACCATGAGATTTCTTTCAAGAACCACTTTGTTCATTTTTCATATTAAGTCATGGCTTACAAGAGCCAGCTACTGTATTAAAAGTTCAGGGAACATAGGAGGAGTGTTAGGTCTTTGTGGGGGGGTCAGGAAGGGCTTCAAAAAGAGGAGGTGCCCCTTGAATTGATACTAAAGGGTGAATAGGAGTTTTCCAGGTAAATAGAGGCAGTAGTGAGTGAGCAGAGAAGCCACATGCACAAAGGCACAGAGATATTGGTGATTGTGGAATATTTGGTGGACCAAAAGTGATTCTGTTAAAAATTTATCTTAGAGTGTGTGCTTGCATGGGAGTGGGTTGGGGGAGAGGCAGAGGGAGAGGGAGAGAGAATCTCAAGCAGACTCCCTGTGCTGAATGCAGAGCCCAATGCAGGGTTCAGTCTCACAACCCTGAGATCATGACCTGAGCCGAAATCAGGAGTTGGACACTTAACCGACTGAGCCACCCAAGTGCCCCCAAAAGTGATTCTGTAAAGTGGGAGTATAGAATGTGAGGTTTGGAGTGTCAGGAGAGTAGGCTGGACAGGTCGCAGGGCCCAGATCTTGATGGTTTTTGAATACCATATCAAAGAGTTAAGACTTTTATCCTGAAAGCATGTTGAGCAGGAGAGTACGTACAGAAAAGTTAAGTCAGATGGCAGGACAGAAATCTGATTAGGTTTGGACGTGGCTGAATATGTGGCCTTGGGTAATTGGACCTCTGCAGCTTTTCTCCTTGACCTTTGTCTCCACTCCTACAGAGTGAGGAATGCAGTGCATGCTGGAGAAGGGTAATGTGACTGGGAGCATTTTCTGGGAGCTCTAGATAGACAAGGTAACACTCATGATTGCCCCCTGGCACGGAACAGGACCTGAAAGCATTTTGTTGTACCAGAAACTGGGAAGTTGGATAGAATTTGGGGATCTGGAAAGAATGGCAAGATTAGCAGACTTCCTCTTAGGAACACTTTTTTTTTTTTTTTAAGGTTTTATTTATTTATTTGGCAGAGACACAGCGAGAGCAGGAACACAAGCAGGGGGAGTGGGAGAGGGAGAAGCAGGCTTCCCACGGAGCAGGGAGCCCAATGTGCGGCTTGATCCCAGGACCCTGGGACCATGACCTGAGGCGAAGGCAGACACTTAACAACTGAGCCACCCAGGCGCCCCTTAGGAACACTTTCAACAGGCCCTTCTCTAATCTAGAAGAATTCCAGAGCTCAGTTGGCCATGTATTCCTCAGCCCAGCTGCTCCCACTTTGTTCATTTGTTTTGCATTTTGCAAACATTAGAGGACTTGAGGAAAAGCACCCTCATGGGGCATCCAGGGAATGTTTGAGATATACCCTATCCTCAAGATGCCTATGTATAGTGGGGGAATACAGGCATCCAAAACACTGTTCCACAAGGGGTAGTATGTGGTGCACTGATGGGCTTTCTAGGATAGGAAATACATAAGCAAAGGTATAGAGCTGAAGAAGTGCAGGGAACATGGGGGATGGCAACTGGGCCACTTGCATTGGGACAAAACTGAGGAGGGGCTGTGGGATAAATGGGGGAGGCCTTTAAGGAATTGGAACTGGATGCTGCTGGGTTGGGGGAGCCATTCCAAGGCTTTGAGTTAGAAGTGAAAACGTCAGAGCTGTGCCTGGATTAGGAGCTTAAGGTTGTGTGTATGTAGGATGGGCTGCAGGGAATAGAGCCCGGGTATGCTAAGACCAGCTAGGGGTCTTGCAGTGATTCAGGTAGAACAGGGCCTGAGTCAGGCTGGTTTCACTGGATTGGCAACAAGAGAGCAGGGACAAGAACAGAAGGGCGAGGTCTAAAGCTAGAATCAGCAGGACTAGAGGGATGAGTGTTGAGCTTGGGTGACTGGGAGGGGAGGGTGGTGGTGTCATCAGAAGTAAGGAAGGCAAGGGAGGAATTAGTTGGGCACAAAGAGGAACCCTTGCCAGAGGAAAAGGCTCTAGGTTTGGAATCAGAAGACCCAAGCTCACACAGCCCCTTGGCTCTTTACCAACTCTGAAACCTTTTCTAGGTTCTTTTTATCCCACTGCTAAATGGGAACAGTAATGCTTACTCCTTAGGATTGCAGGGAGGTCTAAAATGCTTTGTTAGTGGTGTTAGTTTTTGTGCTGTTGTTTAAAAGGGGGGTGGAGTGGTTGAGGTTGGATGCCATGCTTCTAAGAGTTATCAAACAGGCAATTGGAAATTCAGTCTGGAGCTCTGCAAAGAGGACAGTGCTAGAAATGAATGTTTCTGTAATTTACAAAACTACAGTTTGAACCATAGAATGAGATGGCCAAGGGAAATGTTTAGAGGCTAGAGAAAAGGGCCATTGACTGATTACTGGAAAAGACTGGCATATAGGGGACAGGAGCAGGAAGGAAACAGGAGCAGAGGAAACAGAAGAAGGAACCCAGAGGGTAGAGAAATGAATCAGGAGAGTTCAGGCAATAGGCAAGCAGAGTGGGAGGGGGAGGTACTTCAAGAAGCAAAGGTAGGATAGCCAGCAGTTTCAAATGCTGTAGGGGTCAAGAAAAGGGCATTAGATGAGTGGTTAAAGTCCATTCATGCCTTGAAAATTAGTTTCTTCTGCAGTCATCAGAAATATAGTCAGCAGGTGCAATCACTTTTTTGAGATGCTTGGTGGTGAAAGGAGGAACGGGGGAGATGGTAGCTTAGTAAGTAAGCAGGGGCAAAGGAAGAGGGGGTGGGTTTCCTTTTTGTGGTTTAAGAATGAGCTCGTTTGTAAGGGGAAGCATGGAAGGAGGGAAGAGAAGGTGAGAAAAGGTACTGCAAGGTCTTTGGAAGGGAGTAAAAGAGAAGAAAGGTTGGGTGCATGCTGGGGGATCAGCCTAGGGAAGGAGCGGAGATGTTCTGTGAGACCCAGAGGCTGGAGGAAAAGCTGAGGGAACTGTTGTGGGCATTGAATTACATCATGTGGAAGGCACCTTGCAGGGATTGCCTTACATTAGGCACTCAAGTGATTGGTTGACTGGTCCGTTGTCTTTCCTTGGGACACCCTTCCTCATCCTGAGCTCAGACTCATTTTTTTCAGCCACTTGCTGGATATTTCACCTGAGCTACCTCAGTTAAAAAAATCTATCCCTGAAATCATTCTGAAATTCTCTCCCCATTTTCCTTTGACTCCTGTCCTCATTATCTCTTGCCTGGATTATTAGAATTATTTTCTAACTGGGCTCCCCCTTTCTGGTCTCTCGCTTGCCAGTGCACACTTTATATTGCTGCTCAAGATATCTTTCTAACCTACAGTGATCTGATCATGTTATTCCCCTGCCTAAACCCCCAAGGCTTCCCACCGCCTGGTACATAATTGTGTTTTGCTGCTCTCTGACGTTTCTGCTTAACAGCTCCCACCTCTTGTGTGGTCTCTCACCACTTGACATCCTGCTCCCCAACATACCGAGCTGCTTACTGGTCCCTGAATGTGCCATGATCTGCCATGCTCCATGCTTTGTTCCTCTGCCTAGGATGTTTTTACTCCTTTCTCTGTAGGTCCATTTTCCACACTTGGAGACCCAGCTTGGAGTCAATACCCTGCAAAGCTGTCCTCAGCTTCCCCAGGCAATGCCAGTTGCTCACGCTTTACATTCTTTTTGTACAGTAATATAGTAAAGCACTCAAGCTATATTACAATTAATTAATTTTCTGTCTCTCCCGCTGGGCTCTGAGCTCACCAAGGGCACCTGTATTCCCAGTACCCAGCATGCGGCTTGGCATAAAACCTCGGAGAGTCTTAGTGATTACTGTTGAATGAATTAATGAATACCCTGCTTAAAGGGGAAGCCCGTGGCACTGTTATTTATTAACTCCGTGTGTGCTCAAGTTTTTGAAAAGTGTCAGGTAGAGAGAACCGTGTTCTTCTCCAGTGCCTAGGGTGGGGCCTTTGGTAGGGGTGGTTGACCGGCTGGCTTGTTGGCAGGCTGATGTCTGGGCTCTTGTCACTAGATGGGACTGAGTATGGGCTGAGTGAAGCTGATATGGAGGCCTCCTACGCTACAGTGAAGAGCATGGCGGAACAGATAGAGGCTGATGTCATCCTCCTGCGGGAACGTCAAGAAGCTGGGGGCCGTGTGCGTGATTACCTGGTCCGGAAACGAGTAGGAGACAATGACTTCCTGGAGGTCAGGTGAGGAGGCCTCAGAACAGTTCAGGGGTTCTCTGCAGCATGACCTTGTGGTCTAGGGCTTCGCAGAGAATGGTGATTGAGCCTTTGGCACCTGGCATGTCAGCTTCACTCCTTCCCCTTCTGAGGCATGGAAAGAGTGTCCAGAGATATGATAGCTCCATTTTGTATTTCTGTACTTCCCTATCCCTAAATATTTCCATTTGGTGAGAGTGGGAGGCTAGCCATACATTTGTGGCCATTGTGTGGGCTGTGTTTTCTTACCTATCAGCCTGTGAGGCTAAAAACCAGGGTCTTGGAGGAGAGCATTTTGTGCCTCTCTCGGTTTTCGGGCTCCTATCTGGCAGCTTTGAGGAGGCTTATGGAAGTTAAGAGAGAAAGCCATCATGACAGGAGCCTAGTTCCTCCTGAATAATTCTTTCTATTCTTGGGTGTACCTCCAGGGTCATTCCCAATGTGCTCAGCCATGAATGGGAGGAGCGATGAGCTGGAGAGGCTCAGGGGCAAGTCTGTCCTTACAGTTCCAGTTACTCGGGTTCACTTTGCTTCCCTGCTGTCTCTCACAAGGATGTTTGGGTTCACGTACACGCAGGGTAGCAGTAGTAGGCAACGTGGATGCTGGCAAAAGCACGCTCCTGGGGGTCCTGACACATGGGGAGCTGGACAATGGCCGAGGCTTTGCCCGTCAGAAGCTCTTCCGCCACAAACACGAGATTGAATCTGGTCGCACCAGCAGCGTGGGCAACGACATTCTGGGCTTTGACAGTGAAGGCAATGTGGTGAACAAGCCGGACAGCCATGGTGGCAGCCTGGAATGGACAAAGATTTGTGAGAAATCCACTAAGGTGATTACCTTCATTGACTTGGCTGGCCATGAAAAATACCTGAAGACCACTGTCTTTGGCATGACAGGTCATTTGCCTGACTTCTGCATGCTCATGGTAAGTGTGAGGCAGTCCTCAGGAGGGGAGGCTTCAGCTGGGCTGTTTGGGGGTGGCGGTTGCTTATGTGCAAGTGTTAGAAATTGTTCTGTGGCAGAGGCCTGTTGGTTTGGGGCTCTGAGGGTTTAGGAGGGTAAGGATGACACATTTTACAGGGATACCTACTCCTCTGAGCGCTATGGCCTTCTCAAGGGCTGTACCTTGATCTCTCTCCCTGGTACCATTTGTGGACCTCTTTTATTTTCCAGAGAGGCACAGAGGAGGGTTTCTCTTGGGGCTTACTTACTACCTCCAGAAATCTTTCTCCTGGGGTTAGGCTACTCTGCAGAGGTGGCACCAGGTGGCACCCCCGGAGAAGGGGAGGCCTGGGAAGAAATGGTGGAGAGAGCACAGATAGCAATCAAGAGGGGCCTGGGAGGTGGCCTCTCTCAAAGCCTGGGAGGAGTGTCAGCCAGTCCAAGGTACTTGTGGAGCGGCTGCTGTGTGCCTGGCACCATGCTGGACCTGAAGATACAGCAGTTGAGTCTAGTGAGAGGAGACTTTTCAGCAGCTAATCCTGTAGATCACCTGAGAAGGGAAGGGAGCAGAGGCTTCTGTGTTGGATCATGTTGCAAAGCTTCCATTTGGGTCCCGCTGATCTTCTCCGGACAGAGAATGGGAGTCTGTGGGATCCACAGCCTTGCACACAGCTTCACAGCTTTCACAGAGAGCACAAGTGAGCAAGTTTTCCTTTGGCAAGTCCTTCTCTGAGCCCTTCCCCATTTCCCAGTTCCTCCAGCTGCCTGTATTAATAAGTGTAGTAAACACAGGCATCTGTTGAGAGCGTAATTGATCAAGTTGCCCCACAAACACAGGTTCTCAGGCAAATTCTCCCCAAAGTGGAGAGTAAAGAGGCAGAGCATATGTGTGAACGAACACTCTTGTCGGCTCTCTGCCCAAGGTTCTTGGGATCTCAGCATGATTTCATTTCCCATATCCTTGAACATTTCCAGGGGCCATCACCAACTCAACTGGGCTAAGAAAAGCTGTTCTACAAGAAGGGATTTCAGAGGAGGAGCCATAGGGCGTATTGGGGGGAGTTGTTGGGTTTATATTAAGAAAGGTATAGAAACCAGTCGAAAATGAGCATTTTTTTCAACTAAGCTATAGTGAACAAGGCCAATTAAAGGAAATACCTTCACCCTAGATGAAATGTCATATATTATCTGAGTTTTAGGTTATAAATATTATTATTTTAATATTTTATTAAATATTCAAATTTTTCTATAGAAAACACTGAAATCATTATTGCCCCATGACAATTTCCAGGAAAAAAAACTTTAAAATATATAGACAACAGAGTGATAGAGCATTCTCTTATTCCAGTTGGGAAGAACAAAAGCAAGTCTGGGATGGATAGGAAAGGTGGTTGGAAGAAATGGGAAGAATCAGAAGGCAGAAAGAGGAGGTATCTTGGTGTGGGCAGAAGGGAATATGCAGGGGACATCGGTGTTGGGGGGATGGCGGCTCACCTGTGACCTGGGATCAAATGAGAACATCGTTTGAAAACCTTCTGGAATGCATTAAACACTATATAAATGTGTCGTGGCAACTTTAATTTTGTTTTTGTAAGTAATGCATTCATGTGGTACAAAAACAGAAAGATAACCAAAGGGCTTATAGTGAAAAGTCTTCTTCCTCCTCTGTCCAGTTTCCTCTCAGGGGCAACCAGTATTTCCAGTTTCTTAGTTACTCTGAGAGAGATTTTGTAATCATACCAGCAAATGGGGATATATTCTCTCCCTCCAGTTTCAAAACAGTCAGAAAAGTTGAAAGAATAATACAATGAATCCCATAGACCCACCACTCAGATTCAACAATCATTAACGTTTGCTCTGTTCATCTTTATATGTCGTGGATGAGTATGTGTATTTTTTGTTGTTGTCTTGGCTGAATCATTTGAAAGTAGATTATAGGCATTGTGACTCTTGACACCCAAATCCTTCAGCACACAGCTCCTAAAAGTGAGAACGGTCTCCTGCTATTACAGCAGCCGGGAAGATGAACAAGAGTTCCCTAATATCTCGGCTGTGTTTATGTGATCTCAGATGTTCCCCAGATGTCTTCCAGCTCTTACAGCTGCTTTTTTCAAACAATGATCCATTCTACACCCTTTTAATGGTAGCATGCAGTATACACCTTGCTTTTTTTCCTCTCTTAAAAACATACATTAGGGATTATCCCTTGTCAGTAGATAAGAGTTTCCTCTTTCTTGTCTATAGAACATTTGGTACATTTTGTATGGCACACTTGGACACATGCCTTCATTTAGCCAACCTTTATGGTGATATTTAAAACCTTTATTGTTACGGGAAGGAATAGTAACAGTAATAAGAGCTGCCATTCCTTGAACACCTAATTCATGCTAGTTGTGTGATCTCTGACATATTTTATGACACTTAAACCTCAAGAGACCCTCTAAAGGGGATGTTACTATCTCTCCATTTTACAGACGGGGAAACTGGGGACCAGTGATGTTAGACTGAATATACCTTGACGACACTAGACAGTTGTTTCCCCGGACTGTCTGGGTTTGTCTTTTTTTATTGTTTCCAAGTCTCTTCAGATTTTGACAGCCCACATCATTAAATCAGAGGTTAAAGCCATCTGTGCCCAGCCCAGCTTTCATCTACAGCTCTTTTGTTTCTGGTCTAAGACTTCTGCCCCACATGTCCTGTTCTGATGGGGGCCTCAGAGGAGAGCTCTCTCTTAACCCAGCCTTCTTTGAGCCCCTGTGCCCACCCAGCAACAACTTCTGTCTCCCTGTCCTGACCTTTCTTTCTGTGTTGGGGCAGGTGGGCAGCAATGCTGGCATCGTGGGGATGACTAAGGAACATCTGGGCTTGGCATTGGCACTCAATGTGCCTGTCTTTGTGGTGGTCACCAAGATTGACATGTGTCCTGCCAACATCCTGCAAGGTAAGTGAAGCCTGTGTCTAGTAGCAGGGGCTGTCACCCACTGTGGCTCCTTGGTGGTGCTGCCACGGCTTCAGCCCAGAATCTTCTGCTTTTTTGTCTTGTGCTCAGACCTTGGTCTGAATTTCCATCAAGCCTGAATCTTCTGCTTCCTCCTTTATTTAGCTCTTGGTCTAAGCACACCCTAGAATTATCCCTTACTCTTTGTTCCTTCTGGTTCCAAATATAGGATCCTTGAGATTCCTAATCTGGTACCTCTTTTCAGATGGCCCCGGGGCCAGGGTTGGGTTTTACCATCTGAACAGGATACATATGGAGGCAATTGGGCAGAGGGTCTGATTGCCTTCTACCACCAAAGGTTTCAGAATAGCCTCGTATTTCTCCCTCATTCCTGCAGATGGTAGAAGAGAAGTGAAGAGGTGTTCTTTTGGAATGCCTCATAAGGGCTTCTGCAGAGGTGTAAATGTCATAGAGATCCTTTGTCAGATGAATTTTTATCCAGGAAGCAAAGCATTCTGAGAACATTGCCTTTCCCATGAGACCCCCCCCCCCCCCCACGAGTCACTTACTTATAGGATGTGGGTCTTTTAGAGACTCTGGAGAAATTCAACAGGTTTCAGACTCGTAACCTTACCAGACAGGTCTTATATGTCTTCCTTCTACTCTAGCAAGCACATACCCATCCCAAGTTTTGATCCTCCTTTTGCTTCTCCAGGCATGGCATTTAACACTGGTCCATCTGTCTCCTGCTTCTCTCAGTAAGGAGAGGACCAGTCTTGCCCTGGAAGCCTGGCCAGAGAGAGCTGTGTCCCCCTAATTGTGTTCCATTTCAACCTTTAAGAAACCCTGAAGCTGTTACAGCGCTTGCTGAAGTCCCCAGGCTGCCGGAAGATCCCTGTATTGGTACAGAGCAAGGATGATGTGATCGTTACGGCCTCCAACTTCAGCTCTGAGAGGTAATGGGGTAGGGAGCACTCACTGCTAGGCTGGCACAGAGATTGGATGGAATAGAAGATTCTGGTCTCAGTACAAACTCTCCCAGGCCGGCAGTGTTGCCTGGGAGCGATATCAGGCAATCCAGATTCTGAGGTGCTGGCCTTGCTGAGGTTGGAATCCCAGCTGAGGCTTCAGTGTCTTTACTTGTGAAATGGGAATAATATTCCCTACCCATGGTGGCCTCGTAAGTGTTAGAAATGATGTATGTAAAGCACTTGGCACTGTGTCTGGATGCTGGGTGATACAGACACAGCCCTTTTTATAACTGTTACTTAGTAAGTTTTTATACTGTTGTCTCTCAAAAACTCTCTAATCACAGATTAGCATTTGGCTTTTATTCATTAATGTTTCCTTTGATTCCATAAATATTTGTTGGATGTTCTGTACCAGGCTCCTCATCTAGGCATTGAGGATTCAGAGTTGACTCAGGTATAATCCTTGTCCTCAAGGTAGTCACCTCCTTGGTCAGAGATACTCTCTTGATAATAGTGAACTTTGTTAAGTTTGCCCCTTTTCCCAGAGTCTTGGGGCTGCTTAGGAGCCATCTGCCTCCTGGCTTGGTCAGTATACAGCACCCAGAGCAGGCTGGCGTTTTGGCCGGTGGCTGTGTCCCAGTGCTGCCTTCAGTACCATCAGGCGGCCAGCAGAGGGGGTACATTTCAGCCGGCCCCTTTTCCATTCATTCCTCGTGCCTGTTCTGTGCAGGTGCTACTCTGGGAGCAATGGGGAATATATAATTCCTGATCTTGAAGAGTATGATTAACCCTGGATAGGAGACATAGAGGCTGTTGTGATGACTGACGGAAAATCAGGTGTAATCACGTGTAACAGAGATGCAAAAAGTGCTCCCTAGATCTGGGAGGAGTCAGGAGTGCCCATGTGAGAAGGGTTTCCTGGAAAAATCTGCGTTGGAGATGGGCCCTGAAGGAGGAGAGGATTTGTTAGTTGGGTGAGAGGGTAGGAGTCCAGGCAGCAGGATCAGAATGAAGAAATACATGGGGAGCAAAAAAAGTAATAGCTTTTGGGAGAAGAGAAGGTTCTGTGGTCTGGCTGGCAGACAGGAATTTGAGAGAAATAAACCTGCAGAGATGTTGGGAAGAGGGAATTCTGTCTGTCTTCTCTGCAGTGGAAAGACAGGCAAGAATTTTAGGCAAGAATGTGTGTGCTTTAGGAAGTAGAGGCAGTCATATGAGCCCAAAATACGGCAATGGTAGAGGGACAGAGACAAGGGGACAGATTTCAGAGATAAAACTGAATGAAAGAAGAAGGCCTTGGAGCAGGTGTGGCCAGCACTTGGAAAGCTGGGGCAGGGGGTAGGCAGTTGGAAGGCTGGCAGGCTGGTGAGGGGGCAGTGGGGCCCTTAGCAGCAGCACATGTTCCAGAAGCTCTCCTGCTCCTACTCTGTCACCCGGGAGCTGGCCACCTGAGCTCCTTTGTCTTTCTTCACTCTCCACTTAGGATGTGCCCGATATTCCAGATCTCCAACGTTACAGGTGAGAACCTAGATCTGCTGAAGATGTTCCTCAACCTCCTCTCCCCCCGCACCAGCTACCGGGAGGAAGAGCCTGCTGAGTTTCAGATTGACGACACCTACTCTGTCCCAGTGAGTGGCTTCTGGTGGACTGAACAGGATGGGAGGCTGGGTGGGCCCTTCCTACAGGGGCATCAGGGCAAGTATATGGTAGGGAGGACATAAGTGGGATCGACTTACTGGACCCTGGCCTTCTTTGCAGGGTGTGGGGACAGTGGTGTCGGGGACAACACTGAGAGGCCTGATCAAGCTGAATGACACACTGCTGCTTGGCCCAGATCCCCTGGGTAACTTCCTGTCTATTGCTGTCAAATCAATCCACCGCAAGCGCATGCCTGTCAAGGAGGTGCGGGGGGGCCAGACAGCCTCCTTTGCACTGAAGAAGGTGAGTGCCGAGAATACGAAGAACTCCCCTCGGGTTTGTTACGCTGGGCTCTGGGCCATCCCCAGTCGTCCTCGCTGCTCTGTAAGGCAGGGATTACTGACCTCACTTTTATAGGTCAGAAAACTCAGGCTCAGAGAGCCCAAGTGACTTGCCCAGGAACACACAGTAAGTTCTAGAGCCAGGACTTGAGCCCAGGCTTGCCTGCCTACTTCCTAAGCTCTTTTCCTCCTTCTAGTGCCTGAGGTGGGTCCCCCAAGCTCAGTGGTAAGGTCAGAAAGATACCTCCCTCCTGTGCAGTTGGTCCCTCTATATAGGGTCCTTGGGGTCCATGCCAAATCCTCCTCCCAGTCAGCCTTCTGTCCCTCAGGGATTGGGATAAGTGCTAGCTCTTGGGTCACCTACCTCCCTGCCAACCAAATTAACCAGCAGAGTGGGACTTTCCTTATTCCCTCCCAACAGTCCCATCGTGCTCGCCCTGTCCCTTCCACTTGAAAGCTTGCCTACCTCTGCCCTCTCACCACCATCCTTCAAGGCCTAGCTGAAAATGCCAATTCCTACTAAAGGCTTTCCTGACCCCCAGTGGCAGTGTTTAGGCTTCCCACATAGCCCTCAAGTTGGCCCTGTATTGTCCACCCGAGAAGGCCTGTGGTCTAGTACAGTAAGAGGGCAAGGCTGAGTTGGGGTAGTTTCCATTCCCAGAAAGGACTCCTGGTCCTCTGGGACCGGGGGAAAGAACCCCTGGGCATTATTGCCTCTGAGGTCTGGGATTCCCTCTTTCTTTCAGATCAAGCGCTCGTCCATCCGCAAGGGCATGGTGATGGTTTCCCCACGCTTGAATCCCCAAGCATCCTGGGAGTTTGAGGCCGAGATCCTTGTCCTCCACCACCCCACCACGATTAGCCCACGCTACCAGGCCATGGGTAGGTGTCTAAGGGCACTGCCAGCCTAGGAAGCCCTCTGCTGTAGCTACCCCAACAAAGTGCTCCTGCTACCCAAACCCCAAGGTTTCAGCTGCAGCCAAGAGTCAGGTCTCCATGCTATGTAGTGATACCCCCTCTATTCTGCCCATAAGCCTCAGTGTTTATTCAGTTCTGCAAACATTAACCGAGTGCCGGCTCTGTGCTGGGCTCTGGAGACCCAGACTTGTCCTCAAGAACCTCATACTCACTCCTTCAGCAAACGTCTTTTGAATGCTGCTGTGTGCCACCTGGTGTTGCCAAGGTGCTGGGGACACAGTGCTGGGCAGGGGCTCTGCCGTCAAGAAGCCAACAGTCTAGAGAAGGCACACATGCAGACAGAGTGCCCTGTATTTAGGAACCAGGACCGTGGGTGCAGGGACAGGTGGGGTCTGAGTGTGTGTGACAGGATCAGACCTGAGAGTGGACCTTCAGCTCACTTTACCACACACGGCCCCCTGAGGCCTTTAGCTGACCACAGCTCCAGCGTATTCCATGTTCTCACTCCTGCCTCTCCTGCCCGGAGGCCACTGGGCTGCTCAGTCTTGTGGTGACCCCCTGGCTCTCTTGGCAGTGCACTGTGGGAGCATCAGGCAGACGGCTACCATTCTGAGCATGGACAAGGACTGCCTGCGCACGGGGGACAAGGCCACTGTGCACTTCCGCTTCATCAAGACCCCTGAGTACCTGCACATAGACCAGCGGCTGGTGTTTCGAGAAGGCCGCACCAAGGCCGTGGGCACCATCACCAAGGTATGGCCAGGCAGCCCCCCTTTCCCAGCCCCAGGAAGCATGGGGGCCACTCCAGTTTCAGCCTGTGAGCACAACAGCAGAAGCCCTGCAGAATCCCCCTGACTGCCAGGGACAGAGGCTCTAGTTCCCGCCCTGGGAGAGCTGGAACAGTGCTGAAGTGCGGCCTCAGTGCCATTTTCTCTCTTCCCCCTGAGAGGTCTCCCTGGGCTTTGGTGGTGACCATGGAGGAGAGCAGGTGGGGTTGAGGCCTAGCTGTCGTACATAGGAAACAGTGGTAGGAGAGTGGGCCTTGGTCGGCCTCTGCGATGCCAGGCGCAGGCTCCAGCGGCCTGGCTGGGGTGGCACCCTTAACAGCAGTGGGTCAGGTTAGAGTGAATGTTGGACAGCTAGGGGTCCTAGGCTTGAGTTCCCTTGGGGCTTGAGCCGTCTGTGTGTCCTGGAGCCCACTTCATGCCCTCTGCAGACTTCACCCATGGCCTTGGGTAGGGGCACTTGATGAGTGATTTGACTCTTGCTCCAAGCAGCCTGTGTGAGATCTTGGGGCCACCCTTAGGCTGGCCTTGCCTCCAGGACGGCCTTCCTCAGGCCCATCCATGCAGACCTGATCATGTCCTTGAAGGCTACTTGCCTCTGGGACTGGCTGAGAGTGGCAGAAGCTACCAGCACATGCTGTAGTGCCCTTGAGGGTATGGCAGTCCTCCCGTCTGCTTTGAGATTGAACTTGGGCCACAGGGGAAGGCTCTAAATCAGTCCCTCCTGGGTGGTAGCTCTTAAGATCCCCGATAGCCAGACTCTCAGTGTTTCCAGATGCTGAACACTCACTTGGTCTCTTTGGGAGGCCTGAAGTTAAAACTTGCCCCGGACTGTTATAGGGGCAGTAGGAGAGATGCAGTTGATGCTCTGATGAGTTTCAGCCAGCTTAGCAAGAAGGAGAGCCTCAAGTTCGATACAAGGTTCTGGGCAGGCCAGACTCCAGCCTAGGAGCTAGGCCAGGTGGGGGATAACCAAGTTGCACAGGCTGTCTATGGGAAGAGCAGCTGGGGCAGGGACTAGGATGGAGCCGGGCTGGGCTGAGGCAGGTGAGACCTCAGCTAGGGTAGGGGCAGCCTTGAGACACTGAATGGGGATGACAACGTCTCTCCAGCCCGCTGCCCCTGTCGTGGCCCCCTTGCCGTCCACCTCACTCAGGACCAGCCAGGCCAGGGAGTCCCTGGGGGTGGGGGCACAGGGCCTGGGCAGCTGAGCCGACGTCCTGCCTGCAGCTCCAGCCTCATCCCCAACTCCTTGGCTCCTGCAGCTCCTCCAGACCACCAACAACTCCCCGATGAATTCAAAGCCCCAGCAAATTAAAATGCAGTCAACAAAAAAGGGTCCCCTGACCAAACGAGAAGAAGGAGGCCCCTCTGGAGGGCCAGCAGTAGGGGCGCCCCCCACTGGAGATGAAGCTTGCTCTCCAGGGGCTGTGCAGCCAGCTCTGTCCAGCAGTCTCCAGCCACAGGTGAGTGTGCTGCTCAGGCTGGTCTGGTCCCCTGACCACCTCAGGGTGGGAGTGGGAGGGTAACTGTTACTCTGGTTGGTGGAGGTGACAGGAGAGCTTTAGGAGCCTGTGTCTAGCTCCCGTGTCTGTAGTCCATAGGAGGTGTCTCCCCCAGTTCTTGGCACATAAGTGCTAAGTGTTGTGCTGTTTGTCTCTTAGGGCAGTATTTTCCAATCTTTGAGCTATGGCCTGCTTAAAGCTGATTTAGTTGGTCCTGATTAGCATTTGGAATTAATGAAGCAGTAGAAAAATGTCAGGGTTTCCATCTCCCAAGTAAGAGCGCGTGCGGTCTGTGGGAGTGGGATGTGTGTGTGGCAGTCCAGAAGGTTGTTGGAAAGGCGCTGCCTTAGTGGGTCCTCCTGGGTGGGCATTGGTGGCCTTGGACCCTGTATCAGTGTGGTTCTCACTCAGCATCTCCCTTTAGCTCTTTCCCCTGGTTCTGTCCTGGCACCCCCTCATGTTGCTCCTTCTAGGGTCTTCTCCATCTGACCCCTCTTGGGAGAAGGAAACTTCTATCTGGACCTGTCCTTTCTGTTCTCTCTCCCACATTGAGCCTTTCTCTTTCTACCTATCCGCGGGGGCAGGTGTTGGTTCCTGTTCTCCTTGTGCTTCTCGGAACGGCTCTGTCTCACACCATCTCACGTGTGCCCCACTGGCTAGGATGGGTGCTGGCTCCATCCGACAGAGGAGGAGTGCCATGCTCCAAGTAGTAGATGACTGCTCAGGCTAGGCTGGGACCGTCCTGCCTGCTCGCTTTTCTCCTACCCCTTTTCCTGCCACCTTGCCCCTCTGCTGTCCTACCCTGCTCCCAGTGGGCCACTACTTCTCAAGCTCCTTCTTTCTCCCTTTCAGCCCAAGCCCAGCAGCGGGGGCCGGCGACGGGGGGGCCAGCGTCACAAAGTGAAGTCCCAGGGGGCCTGCGTGACTCCTGCCAGCGGCTGCTGAATCTCCCCGGCCCACCCCCACCACCCAAGGAATCCTTGTACTCTGGCCACTGTTCTACCACGTGGGCCAGAGCAGCTCTGACCACCACCCGCCCTCCCCCAGGCCACAGCGGAGCCTCATCATTCCCCACCCTCCGCCCCCATTTTCCAGGGGGGTTGTAATTTATAAGCTGAGGAAGGTGGCCAGACTTCTGGAGGACTGACCATCATCCACCTTCTTCCCTGCCTTCTTCCTTACTCACATTTTTGTACATCTGGGCCCTTAGTTTTTATTCTTTTTATTCTCTCTTTAGTGTGTGTGTGTGTGCATGTGTGGGTGTGCGCGCGCGCGCGCTCGCGTGTGTGTGTGGGGGGTGCAGAAGTGTAGCTGGTCAGGGCCCTGGCAGTCTTTCTCCTTTTTTCCTCTGTGGCTGGCCACCAGCCTCCAGGAGCTGGCTGCCTGCCCATCTGTCCATCCGTCTGTGTGTCTGACAACCTTTAGGGGCTTTCAGGAGCTGAAGAGCACCCTCCTCCCCTGTGCTCAGCCTCCTCCCCTGTGCTCACTCCTCTGCACCCAGAGCCCTCCACAGAGCCGGACTTGGGGCTTAGGGGCTTCGTAAGTGCTGCTGCCAGAGCAGGGAGCCTTCCTTCTGCGACTGGGGGGCTTTTAGCAGAATGGAGAGTGGTAGCCTCCTTTTCTCTCTCTCCTCCTTCTCCCCGCCCCCTTAAGCCCCAAAACAGGTAATGCCAAAATCTCTTAAGCTGTAGCCTGTAGATGTGGGGGGGGAGTGGCACTTGGGTTGTAGGAACCTCCCTGCCCCTAACTCTGACCCTTGCCACTGACCCAAAGACAAATGGTGGTTTTCCTTTCCCCTTGGAGACAATCCTGTGTTTGCCTGGCCAGGCCAGGGCAACTCCCATTGTGCTGATTTTGAGCTGGGGGCTCTGGCCCTTGAACTTTCTATGAATCTTATTGGGCCTTGGGGCACTAATGACCTGGACTGGGATTGGCTTGCTCTGGGTCCCGCTCACCAGCACCTCCTGTTGGTGGGGGTGTGAGGTGTTCTCTGAGCCAGGCCAGGACTGGAACCCATTCTTCCCCACTACAGCCCCACCATGTTGCCCCAGCATGGCTGCTACAGGAGCACAACAGGGAAGGGCCTGAGCCCCAGTTTTGGAAGCCCCATTTGGGGTGTGGGGAGGGCAGGTAAGGGTAGTGAAAAAGATTCTTCTAGGCCCAGCACAGAGCATTAACCCCTCTGGAAGAGTCACTGCCTGGGGTGGGGGTGGGGTCAGGGTCACTCAGGCCAGCGACGGCAGTGTGGGGCCCACACCAGCCTGGCCCGAGCTGTGGCCAGAAGCCCTGGGTTTAGGGTGGACTGGTGGGTGGAGATGTGTTCTTTCTAGCCAGGGCAGACACCCAGCTGGCTGGGTCCTTCCTCAGCCTTGCCTCCCTCCCATCCCCAACCGTCCTCCCTCCTTCCTGCTTCTGGACTGCTGGTCCCCTCACCTCCCCTCCTTCCAGCTGTTTCCAGTTACCACTGGCCCATGGCCGTGGACCGACCAGACCAGCACAAAGAATAAAAGTTTGTTCCAAGCTGACGGTGTCCTGTTCCCTGCCCCGGCCCCCCAGCTGGCTGTGCCTGCCCCCGAGCCCCCAGCTGCAGCACAGGGCAGGGGCGGGAGGAGCCCAGCTTCTCTCAGACGCGCTTGGCTTCAAAATGCAGGCCCCTCTGGCAGCTGTGACACGGGACAAGTTGCCAGTCGTCCCTGAACCTGTTCCTCATCTAGAGCGAGGGGGAACAAATGCCTGTGTCGTGGTGGTTGTGAGGCTTCAGCGAGGGAGCGTGTGGTGAGGCTCTGACGCGCCAGCCTGTGGGAGGCGCCGCGGGCTCCCAGGTCCTCGGGGCAGTGGGCAGGCGTGCAGGGAGAAAGGGGGCGTTGACCTGTGTCCGGCTGGATGGCTGCCTCCCTTAGGCGCTTTCATTTGGAAGCTGTCATCTAGGAGAGAGGCGGCGGTCCCTTTTTCTAGTTAAGGCGACTGAAGCTCGGAGGGACAGCGCCACCATTGGGCACGTTCCTGCCCGCACCAGCCCTCAGCCCCAGCCGACAGTAGGCGGCCGCTCTGCCCCGTGGCCTTGGGCCCCTGCCTGTCCTTTGTGTGCTAGTTCCTTCTTGCTTTTTGACTCTGGTCCTGCTTCTAGGGGCTGTTGCCCACTGGTACCTTCGCAAGAGGAAGGCTGCAGCATTGAGCACCCCTCTGCTCTCTGTCCCCACGGCAGGTGCTGTGGAGCCCGTGTTTCCACAGGACTTCACTAGGGTGGGACCTTGTTTGAACTCTTTGCCACTAAGAGCATAACCACTTTCTTTACATTTGGAAGCTGTGGTCTCCACCCTGGCCTCTGCCCTCAGACGCGCAGGAGGTTGGTTTGGATCTCAGTGGTCACCAGACCCACGCCTGCTAGCAGGGGCTGACTGAATACAGTGTTTTACTGTCATTAACAGCGACTCCACAGGTCCTCTACGGGTCTCAGCCCTACCGACTCTCACTTTGGAACAAAACACCAGCCCTTTTATAGCTGATAAAGAATAAAGTTGTTAATCATCTCGAACGACCGATCCTGACCTTTCTGTATGCACAGCTAGCATTTGTGGCGTCTAGTTCGGTTAGGACCCCTGTTCTGGCTTATTGGCCTCCCTGGCCCAGAATAAGGGAATGGGACTATGCCATGGTGCAGGGGGAAACACAGGTTTGGGGGCATGGGGCATGGAGAAAATGGGGTGAGAGCTGTGCCTTGAGGGGTCAGGATTTGAACATGTGTAGATGGGCAGAGGGTACATGTCTGGCCTGGAGGGCACAACGAGGGGCACTGAGCCCTGACTGTGGTAAGTTCCAGGCACTCGTTTAGTGGTGCAGCTGGGGGATAGCTCCTTTGTTGAGAGACGTTCTAGATGCAGAGCAGGTGTTGAGTGAAGTAGGGAAAATGGGAGTGGTCACTGGGGGTGAGCCATAGGACCAGCTCTTTCCTGGCATAGAGGGGTGAGGGGTTAACTGGCCCAAGGCTTCAGGGCTGGATTTACACTGCACCTGGTACCCTCTCCTGTGGCAGTTTATCCCTAACCCCTCTCCTCCTGACCCATCCCAGCCTCTGTTTTCTTAGATGTGGTGGGGACCAGCCCTGGGTCAGGTGCCATGGTCAGGAGCAGAGTATGTTGGAAAGCGTGTTTGTGGAACCACCCCTGGCCCTTCAAGCAGCTTATTGGAGGCACTGAATCTGGGGACATATTGGCAGGGAAGGGCCAGGACCTGTTCCTCTGAGCTGGCAGGTTCTGGCTCTTCAGGGGACCCTTCTCCTTGTGCTATCCCAGCACAGGAACAAGGGACAAATGTCCAGTTCCCACTGTGGAGTCCAGTCCCACACTGAAGGCAGACGTGGTCAGTAGTGAAACAGGTAGATTCGTCTACCTTCTGCTCAAGTGACACCGAGAGGCAGGCAAAGCTGCCCACTTCCTACTGGGATGTCTAGGAGGGCTAATAAAGCCACCTCCCTTCTTTCTTCATCTCCCTTTCTCTCCCCTGAGCCCAGACTCCCAGAGCAGGGCCAGCCTTAAGCCCCGTTCTCCATCCCAGCTGGGTTTTAGTGGAGAAGCCTGGGTTTCTGAAGTTCAGGGGTAAGTCTTTGGGGCATTGTTTTGGTTCAGAGTTCATTCTTTTGTTTTCCCAAGAGCAGAGTCCCTGTGCCAGGGCCAGATAAAAAACTACACATGCCATGAATCCTGGGCATAATTTATTTTTTTTTGCATAGGCATAAATTAGAATCTGGAGATAAAAAATTCAGAACCAATAGTGCAGCATTTGTGACAGGAGAGCGCAAAACGAAACCTGGTTGTCTGGGATGGAGCCGCTGCCAGGGGACCAGAGGTGGCCTTGGGCCTCCTCTTCCTTCCAGCTTCCTCCCCTACGAGCCCATCTGGGGCTCAGCCCTGCTCCTGGGGCACCTGCCTCCACAGCAGCCCCTCACGGCAGCTGGGTTACAAAGAACTGAAATCAGCCAGTGCCCCACAGAACGGGGCTAGGAATCAAGCCCAAAGCTTTTCAGTTAAAAATCAGACCTTGAAAAATATATACATAATACAGCAGGCCTGCTTGGGTCTAAAAGCCCTATCTCCCTGCTGCCCACCACCCCTGAATGCCACCCCCCCATAGAAAATGAGCCAGAAAGGAAACCATCTGAGCAAGAGCTTGAAAGAGTCCCAAGAGGGTAGCTGAGGATCAGGGCCCTTATAGTCAGGGGCCTGACTAGGATGGGGGCCCACAGTAGACAGACCTCTTCCCACCATGACACCTTGAATGTTACCATCATACTCTTTGGACCACCGCAAGAGCCTAAGGAGTACCCTGCTCCTCATCCTTTTAAGCTTACCCCAGCTGCTTATGGCCTCAAACTGGTCTAGGCTCCCTTCACCCTGGGGGAATGTGACAAGCTTGCTCTGGGGCACAGGTAGGCCCTAGCAGGAATGGGGAGCAGAGTGGGCCCCGGTCCCAGCATCAGGAGAGCGAGAGAAAGCAACTAGCCCCAGCAGAGTGGGAATCCTACAGGTTGGCCTCCTGGCCCCTCAGAGGCTCACAGGAGTCAGACCCTCGAGAGCATGGGAAGCCCAACTGCCCACTGTGACCCAGACCAAATACAGTGTAGCGAGGCCTTTGGGGGACCCCATGGGTCAAGCTCCCTTAGGTTGATGGCACTAGACTTCTTGTACAGGGCAGCTGGGCTCTTCTAGGAGCTTCCTGACTGGGGCTCAGTCCCAACCTGCACCACGAGCACTTTCCTCCCAGAGGACCTCACTTCCCTGCCTGCGGATGAGGGCAGCTCACTTGCCCCAGGCCCTCACTTATAGCCCACCCACGGCTTTGGCACCTGCTTCATTCACACACCTACCATCAGCAGCTCCCTGGGTGCCAGCCCCCATCCTGTTTAAGGGGCAGACAGGTTTCACCCACCTTTGCTGGAACATGTCCACTCATTGCCTCTCTCCCTGTCTTTCAATCCCCCACAATATGCTACATATATACACCATCCCAAGAGGGTGAAGTAGACACCCCATGCCTGGCACAAGGAGGACAAAGAAAAGGGACACTGGAGCTTGCTGTCCACCTTGAGCTGTCCCGCTGCTAGGAAAGCCCTATATGTTCTCAGCTCCATCAGGCCAGGGGTTCTTGCTCCTGGAAGTCCGTGCGCTGGTCAAGCATGTGGGGAAGTGGCAGGGTGCTGCTCTCCCACTCCCAGAGAAGGGGGCACGTGCTGAGAGAGGCTGGACTCCCAGCTGGCTGGCTGCAGTACAGAAAAGGCCTAGTGGGTGGGTTCCCCATGCACCCGGAAGCGGTAGATGCAGGTATACTCGGGATGGCCCCAGTTAGTCAAGATCCGTAGCTCTACCACCTGGTATGTGGCCATTTTAGTGTCCTGGGTAGAGAAAGGAGAGGTTAGGAGTGGCCAAGTCCTCAAACTTCACTGATAGGAGGGCAGGAAGGGAGACAGCCACCCCCAGGGTCAGATGCACCGCCCTCCCCCCCACATTGGCCTCTACAGAGAAGTGGGCTTCCAAGCTCCCGTCATCAGACCATGAAGCAGTTTCCAGCCTGTGAGCCAAGGAGCTCCAGGGGCTTCAGAGGTCCTCCAGGGGCCACTGACCCACAGCCACATACAAATGGCCGTGTAGCTGAGGACCAGCGAAATTCATCCCAAACTGACAGATTCATAGGAGCTATTACTGTCAGTGGACAGAATTACCGTTATGGAGGGTTTGATAGATGTTGACGCTGGAAAAGAATCCTTTTACTCTGAATTAGGCAGAGTTATTCTCTCTCAAGTTCTCATCAGGCCTCTGGTTTTTTTTTTTTTGTTTTTGTTTTGTTTTTTAATTTTATTTATTTGACAGAGAGGGACACAGCGAGAGAGGGAACACAAGCAGGGGGAGTGGGAGAGGGAGAAGCAGGCTTCCCGCTGAGCAGGGAGCCCGATGCGGGGCTCGATCCCAGGCCTCTGGATCTCTTTGCTCAAAAAGGCCACAATTTTTGAGTGAGCTTTTGGAGCAAATTTCCCCTGATTTGATGCCAGTAGGCACAGTGCTTTCCTATTCTTCTTGTCTCCTTCTGGCCTTCCACACAGCCTCTTGTCCTCTACCTTCTCCTAAAGGCTCAGTCTACACCCATCCCTGAGCACTCCGCTGGCTCAGTTACCACCCTGGAGCTGACCGCTCAGTCTTTGTGTCTAGTTCCCCTGATCCCTCCACTGGACCATCCCACGGGTGCCTCAGGCTTGGTGGCCAAACCCCCCCTGCATTAGCCTGCCTCTTGGCACCTCTGGAAGCCATCCCCTTCTTCCCCCTTCCCCACTTCTGTCCAGCCTGACCCTTGGCCTCCCAACTGTGTATCCACCTCTCCCTCCTCACACCCTCTCTCTGCAGCCACTTCCTGACTGGTCTTGTCCCCTAAATTCACCATTTCCGCATGGTCACAGTGATCTTACAACAAGGTATTGTCACTTCTCTGCCGAAAACATGGCAGTGCCCATCAGGGCCAGAAGTCTTTGGCCTGGTAGCCAGGCCTGCCTCTCTCCAGCCTCCCTTCCTGCCACTGTCCCTTCGCCACCTCATCCAATTCTTCACCCCTGGTGTAGCTCTCAAGCCCCCTGCACAGCAGTCATCTGGGCTGCTTGTTAGAATATTGATTCCTGGGGCGCCTGGGTGGTTCAGTCGGTTAAGTAGCTGCCTTCGGATACAGGTCACGATCCCGGGGTCCTGGGATTGAGCCCTGCATTGAGTTCCCTGCTCAGTGGGGAGTCTGTTTCTCCCTCTTCTTGCCCTCCCCCCCGCCACTCATGTGCACTCTCTCTCAAATAAAATTTTTTTTTTAAGGTTTTATTTATTTATTTGACAGAGAGCGACACAGCGAGAGAGGGAACACAAGCAGGGGGAGTGGGAGAGGGAGAACCGATGCGGGGCTCGATCCCAGGACCCTGGGATCATGACCTGAGCCGAAGGCAGACGCTTAACAACTGAGCCACCCAGGCGCCCTCAAATAAAATCTTTAAAAAAAAAAAAAAAAAAAAAGAACATTGATTCCTTAGGGCTGTTGGAACCTGGGAGCCTATCTCCTGGGGTGGAGACTGGGAATCTGCATTTCTAACAAGGGCCTGGGAGACTGATGCCCACTCAGGTTGAGGCAAGCGCCCTTCCTGCGTGCCCTAGCCATGCTGCACCATCTGAGGCCCAGCTGGATCACCCTCAGACAACTGCCCTTTCTGGGCAGCCTTTTCCATGCTCCCTGTCTGGGATGGGACCCTCCCCTGTGCTGACATCTAGGTGGTGCCTCTCTCGTCCCACTTGGACAGCTGTCCCTGTTCCCTACCTTGAGCTCTCGGAAGGCAGAGGTTGCACTTTTTCTTGCCCTGAGCCCCCAGTGCCCGGCCCAGGGTGAGTGCTCAGAAACTGTCTACTGAGTGGTTGGGGAAGTGAGTACGCCACGTCTGCTAACATAGCAGAATCTTGTACCTGAAAATAGAAGGTCTGAATGGGCTCCCCATCCTGGTCGTAGGTGAACTGGCCAAGAAGTGTCCCCTCTTGCTGCAGGTCTTCATCAAACCCCTGAAAAGAGAATAAGGGATGGAGGGAAGATCTTGCACTAGACAAGTGCCCCGGCCCCCCCAGGGAGGAATGTTCTCCCTTCCTGTTCCCATACTGGTCCCTTCCCACACTAGCAGGTCAGGCAGCAGCCTTAGTGAGACTGTAGGGGGCCTGAGCCCTGGACCCGGTTTCTTCCACTGCAGCCTAAGATAACTGGGACTGAGGTACCATTTCCCACCCTGCTGCTCTCTCTTCCAAATATGCTCCTTTCTTCCCAGCCAAAGAACAGATCCCAGCTTGGTCCTCGGTAGAGGCTCATAGGGTCCTGTAGCCCCCCTGGCCCCCCACAGGTACTCACAAAGATGGAGAAGTCCTTGGGGGCACTGGAGATGGTGCTGTTGGGCGACAAGGACTTGGGGACATGCTCTAAGGTGACAGCAGTGGGGCGGATGCGGGCAGAGAGGCGAACCACGGCAAAGCCCTGGGGCCCCTGGAAGGCCCAGCAGTTGCCTGGGTGCACGTCTGGCTGGAGGGGAAGGAAGCTGGGTCAGCGTAGGGCTGGTGACAAAGATAGCCCACCCTGAGCACAGCTTTTGCTGACCCCAGGATGGGAGTCCCCCAGCTACACAGGTGACTGCTCGGGGCCCCTGCTGCTGCCCTCTTTGGGTGCCTACCTGGAGAATGACTCGGGGTGACTGCGAGTGGTACCACAGGGGGATGCCGAAGAGGCTGAGGAGGGCCGTCTTGGTCTCATAGGTCTCGGAACACCGGGTGCTGATAACACTAGCCCCTAAGACAGGAAGGAAAGCAAGGCAGTGTGGGCACCTGGAGCTGGACCCCAGCAGGGGAGGGAGGGTGGGCAACCCAGACACCAGTGCATCTCACCAGCCCAGGGAACCCAGGTGGGGACGGCTATTGCCATGTCCTCTCTGAGGATGGAGGGCAGATGCCCCGGGCCTAGTCTGTGTACCTCAACTATATCCAACTACAGAATAACTGTAAACGTCAGCCTCTCCCTGGCCAACAGTGGTGTTCAGTTCATCCAGACTTCTCCTAAGCTTCTTCACTTGCCTTCGTTGTGAGTGACGTGTGCTGATCTCAAGCTCCACTCGCCTAGCAACATGGCTGCCCCGGCCGATGCCAGAGGGCCAGCCAGCAGCAGGACAAAGGCTCTGCGAAGGGGGGAGAGTGCACACACACCTCCTGATTCCAGAGCGTAGTCCACCATCCCGATGCGGTCCTCACTGTAGCGCTTCAGGGCCTGGTTTACAATGCGCTGCACCTGCTAAAAGAAGCACCCAGGACGGCTGCCAGGAGAAGCAGACTTGCCCACCCTTAAGCCCCTACTACTGGGGGCCCCCCCTATCCTGCACCACACACTGGCATCCAGCCACACACGCCACTTCCCTAGGTGTCCCCCCACCCCCACCCCCACCAGCCCCAAAGCCAACATCAGAGCCTCTTGCATGTTGAGAGGTAAGGTAGATAACCCTTAGGCCTTGGAATATACCAGGAAGCCGGCAGAGTTGGGACTGTGCAGTTCTATGGCTCCCAGGGAAGAGAACACTGTGTCAGGGGGTGGGGCTGTTCCAGGGCCCACACAGTCCTTACCTCCTCTGTCACCCCGATCACGCCTTCCTTCTGCAGCGTCAGCCCCAGGCTGGCCGCGGCCTCCCTCGCTGACTTGCCCTGCATCTCGGCCACGTGGGCAAGGATCTTGCTCTCCAGCTCCTGCAGCTGAGCTTGCATCTCCTCTCGCTGAAGGAGCCCCGTGCGGGTTCCTCCACCTCGGAGAAGGAACTGACTGACCCAGGCGGGGAATTGAGACTCCACCTGGGGACCGAAAAGTCTCTGAGAGGCTCACAGGGACAGTGTTGCTCTGGTGGCCCAGGCCAGGGCAGGGTGGTGCCTGGCTTGAGTAGAAGGGGTAGGGAAGGGGCACAAGCCTGGGAGGGGAGGGCCAGGCCAGCAAATCCTGCTAACCCACACGGAGGAAAGAGTTATGCACAACCCTCCACGTTATTGAAAACAAAACCGGAAGAACTCTGGTCAAAGAAAGCCAACATTTGTGCCAAGTCCCAAGCAGGGGGCGGTTGGACAAATAGGCTCTTTGCCATATGGGCTCCTAGGACAGATGCCCTCCGAGGACAGGGTGTTCAGCAGGGGACTTGGGTGGTTCCAACTTACGTCATCCCTCACGGCCTGCAGCTGCTGGGGCAGGAGGCCCACTTGGTCTGCCACAGAGCTCTGCTTCAGGCTCAGGGCTGCCAGCTGGCCCTCCAGCCGCCCCAGCTCCTTCATGGAGTTCTCTCGGAAGGCCTCTTGGGTCATCCTACTCCCGAAGAGAGGAGAAAAGTATAAGCCTTGGCTCCCTGGTGAGGGGTGAGGCCGTGCTGAGAAACACAAGAGGATCCCCTCATTGGCTCCCAATAGAAGTGTGTGCTCATCACCCGCAGGTGCACGCAAGGCCTACACCTGGGGACCCTGGCCTGGGGACCACAGCCCCGGCGCCTACGAGCTGGTTTGCTTATCCCAAGGAATAAATTCTTACCCTGTTCCCTTTCTAACCCCAGATCCATAATTCACTCTGCCTCGGCCTCTCCTACCCTCCACACATACGCATGTCGGGTATGGGAAGGCAGCCTGCATGAGTGTGTACAGGAAAAATGGCATGTCTACACCCAAACCCACAAATCCCAATTCTCCTGCAGTGCCTCCTATACCCAACCTCTCTTGCATCTTAAGGACAGGCTCTAAGCAGGTGTTCCTGAGCTAGGTTTCAGCCATCCCCTCTCTGCTCTGGGGCTCTGCTCCCCAGGCCTGCCTGGGTGTGGGGGGAAGGAGCAGGGAGGAGCAGGCCTAGGCCAGATGGCAGTGCCCATTACCTTTGCCACTCAGACTTCAGCTGCTGGAGTTGAGCCTCAGACTCCTGTAGCGAGAAGAAGGCACAGATAGAACAAATGCCAAGCTCACAGCAACCGGTCTCCCGGAGCAGGATCTGTTCCCTTTGGAGTCTTTGTTTCACTACAGCCCCACCCTGGCAAACCTTAAACACCTCCTGGTCAAGGTCCCCAAGAGAGTCTCCCTCCTGGCACACTTCGGCATTCATTCATTCACTCATTCATTCACTCGGCATGTTATACCCAGCACAACAGACCTCCTGAAAGCCCCCCTTCCTCAAGCATGCCCCAGCGCGTCCCTGCAAAGCATTCCAGAGCCCGTGGGTTTGGCCCTCGCAGAAGTTAGGGGACTCTACCCCCACCCCATCTGGTGTCTAAGCAGGCCCTTCGGGAGATCTACGCTGTCTCAGCCCAAGAGCAGATGTTGAACTGGATAAGGGCCCCACCGACCTGGGAAGCCTGGACAATTTTCTTAAAGAGGTCTTCAGAGTCTTGTTGATGTTCTGCTCTCAGGGTGGCCAGTTCTTCCTGTCAGAGGAGAGAGAGGCTGAGGACTTTCCGGAGTTACAGGCAGAGGGAACTTAGCCAGTACGGGGTCGTATGGGAACTTGAACCAGGCCTGACTGCGAACTTCAGCTCCTGCCCTTTCTTCTCCAGTGCTCCTCGGGAACACGCAAGACTCCCTGGATCTTACTGCACACCTCTTGTGCCAGGCACTCTACAGTCTTGTGCTCGCACGACTGGGTGGGGGTGCAAGGGTAAACACGAGATCCTCCGTTTTACAGGGAACTAAGGCTTAGAGAAGGTAACTGCCAAGTGACACACTGCTGTCTCTGTCATGTCAGGGTGGCAGGGCCTTGCCCCTCCATCCCATACACCCACCGCGCCACCCAAACGCCACTCCGCTCCCGTTCGGAGACCTGGATCCGAGCGGTGGTGTCCCTGCGGAAGTCCTCCTTCAGGGCAGCCTCACGGCGGCTCACTAGCCCCTCCAGAAGCGCCAGGGTGTCGTCCTGGCTCAGGCCCATGTGGCCTCCCCCACCAGCGGCTCCCTGCCGCAGCTCCAGCCGCTCCAGCCGCATAGCCTCCTTCTGCCAGTTGGAGGAAAATTCAGCAGTGAGAGCTTCCAGACGCCGCTCCAGAGAGTGGACCCGGGACAAGATGCGCTGCTCAGCCTGGCGGGGTGGGGAGGGAAAAGCCACGGAGGTGAGTGACAGAGGACGCTCTGTGCCCCGCAGGTAGGGGAGGACGCCAGCAGGGAGCCCGGGTGCCCTAAGGCTGCTGACGTGTGGTGACCGAGCGGCACAGGACGCTGGACACACGTGGCCCGGAAGGGTCTGATCCCCAAGGAGGAGTGGGTGTGGGCCAGGTGAGCGGGGACATAGCAAGGAGGGAGCCGCAGGGGACTGTGTGGCCTGCTGGGCTGACCCCAGCCCCCTTCCCTCTGCTACATGGGTGCGCATGCCAGGAAGCGAGGGGCCGAGGGGTTCAGCTGCTGACTTCAACAGCTCCCACTAAGTCTGCCCAAGAGAACTAGGGCTAAAAGACAAAATAATTTGAAAAGCCTTTCTTTTCTTCTCTTTAATTGGAAGGCCCACAGAGAAAATAGAAGTCATTTGGACTTGAGGGTTGCACCTGATAGCATGCTATGAATTTTTAGAAACTTCCTGGCGTAAAAACAAAAATCTTTGCCAAGGGAAGATATAATCTGTCAACTGTCAGTTAAAGACAGGAACCTCCTAAGCACAGAAGTTGCTTCTGATTTTTAAAATTTTTTAAATAGGCCGTACATTTGCAGGACTCAAAAAGCAAACAGTAAGTTATTCTAACCTGTGTCCCTGTCCACCTGGTGCTCTCAACCACCACCTGCTCCCAAACCAAGCAACGATTTTCATTCATGTCTTTATGCAAATGTAAGCAAGTACAAAGATATACTCCCCCTTTGCACAGAAAAGGTGGTCCTGAAATTGTATTTAACATCTTTACTAATGATTACAAAAAGGAAAGTTACAATGCCAAAATAGGTTATTATTTTATGAAATAACAAGATGGTGAGAAAAGTAATATCCACCAACATAAATGGTTAAAAATGTGTTACCCAATTAGATTCAGCAAGATGCAAGCAAAATTCAAATATATTTAGGGAGTAAAGAATTTTAAATTTTCATTGTCACACGCGCACATTCTGGTTATCTGGGCACTTGTCACCCCCACTGGACTGCAGGCTCCTTGAGGACACAGCCTGGGCTGCAAAACTGGCCCCCGTTCTACCCTCGGCCCTGTATCCGCACCCTCCGCAGTGTGGGCTTGCAGGTGCTCCCATCAAGAGGTGGAGTCTATGTCCCCCTCTTGGAATGTAGCCTGGCTTTGAGACTGCCTTCGGCCTAAAATGGGGTGGAAGGGACAGTTCTGAATGTAGGCCTGATTCTGCTCTCCTGGAACCATGGTCAGCTGCTATGAGAACAAGCTCAGGCTAGCCTGCTGGACGAGAAAAGCAGGTGTGGTGCACAGCCAGCTGCAGACACACAAGGGAGCCCAGCCTAGATTAGCCGGTCCTTGCTTAGACCAGAGAAGCCACCCAGAGGAGCCCCAGACTCGTGAGCTAATCAAATGCTTGTAGTTATAAGGCACTGATTTTAGGGGTGATTTACTTGTGGTAATTGGTAACTGACCAACATATCACCTTATTCGTAGAAGATGCTTAGTAAATATTTATGAAATTATATTACAAAGGAATACAAGTAGACAAAACGATTGGTCTCATTCTTTTTCCTTCGGTTTTCTGTGCTTAAGACGGCAACTAACTTTGGGACAGTCTGAAGTCCTATTTAAGCACAAGCAAACTGCTCCCCCAGGACCTGCATCCCAAACAGCATAGAAAGGGGTGTCCTGGGAGACAAGGCAGTTTATCAGCGAGGACGACGCCTCTTCTCAGCCCTGTATGTAAGGTGTAAGGGCAGGGAAATCAACTACAAACACAGGCAGAGCGAGGACCTGCGACCCTCAGATCCTCACCTGGAAGTGGGAGGAGTCTCTGGACTCGCACACATCCTGCTGTCTGCCACTGCTCTTCGCTGCCCACCAGGAAACCACAGCAGGGTGGAATGTCTGCAGCCCATACGGGTAGAAATACCAAGCACCTGTCCACAGAGGAGAGGGGGTTATCCAGGCCAGTGGCCAAGAGCAGGAAGGCACAAGCTGCTGAAGAGGGCAGCCTAATCAACACGGGTTATTAGCAGCCTGTCTCATTCCTGTGACCTGCATTTCTTCTGGAAGGGATGGAGGGATGGTGGAATGGAGGTTCCCATCATTCTTTGAGGCGGTAACTTCCACCCGACAGTCCCAGAGTATATGCGTTCTCACATCTCTCAGGAGCCCTCATCTTTCTCTGGATGGCAAAACTCAGAGAACATGGCTCTAATAAGCTAGGGATGATCCAGCGGTAGAACCAGAGGCCACTCCCAAATGTCCATCAGAATCACCCAGGAAGCTTTTAAAGTACCCAGTATCTGGCCCCACTCTCTCTAGAGCATGAATTCACTGGTCTGGGGGATCCTTCTGTAGGTGAGGTGAAAGATTTTACTTACTTAGAGAAAGAGAGAGTTGGGGGAAGAGCAGAGGGAGAGGGAGAAGCAGACTCCGTGCAGAGGTGCGGAGCCTGATGCGGGGCTTGATTCCACGAGCCCAAGATCATGACCTAAGCCGAAACCAAGAGTTGGATGCCCAACCGAGCCACTGCACTGTCCCTGTAGGTGAGTCTTAAAAGCTCCTCAGGAGGGGCCCCTGAGTGGCTCAGTTGGTTAAGTGTCTGACTCTTGATCTCAGGGTCATGAGTTCAAGCCCAGCATTGGGCTCCATGCTGGGCATGGAGCCTACTTATAAAAAAGAAAAACAAGCTCCCCAGGTAACTCTCATGGACTACTGTGATTGAGAATCACTAAAACAAGACACCTGCTAAGAGAGGGTGCTACAGCCACGGGGACACTTGCATCTTGCTTTAGGGGTCATCTGCTTGTGATGCGTTTACTCCTGAGCTATGCACATGCATGTGTGTGTGGGGATGAGGGCATCTGAAAAGCTGCATGCATCTCCATCCGGGTAGGACCACACCTGCCACTCAGTCATTGGCTGCGAGCAAGTGCAGCGGGAATCACACGCCCACCAGGCTTTCAATCAGTCCCTCTGGACGCGCCTCACTTCATGCACTCCCCTCCCGAAACGGGCCACTCCCCCTGCCTTTCAGACTCTCCACACGCATCTCACATCTCTTTGTGAGAGATGCCACTGAGACTCAGCTCCATCGACCCCACAAGGCTGCGGTGAAACTCAAATTATCGGAGGTAACTCACGAACAAAGCACTATACAACTGTAAAGGATCATTCTTATTTTAAGGGTGATGCCCAGTTTCCACTGGACATGAACAAGCTGTTCTTGTAACAGGAAACGAAAAGGAAATCAACACTTGGAAAAATTTTCTACCTTGCTATTCAGTAAATAAAAGTTGAGTAGATGCTAAACCTATAAAACCAACTCTAGGGGCACCTGGATGGCTCAGCCCGTTAAGCATCTGCTTTCGGCTCAGGTTATGATCCCAGGGTCCTGGGATCGAGCCCCACCTGGGGCTCCCTGCTCATCGGGGAGTCTGCTTGTCCCTCTCCTCCCTCCTCAATCTGTGTCTCTCTCTCAAATAAATAAATAAAAACTTAAAAAAATCAACTCTAAAAAAAATAAGGCATGGTCTCTCTCAATTAATTGTAGATTGGTACAATCATTAAAACAGGCTGGGGGCCATAGAGGCAACTCCTATGGAATTGTGAGACTCCTATGGTACTGTCAGATTACAAGCTGAACAGAAAATATATACACACAATTATTACAACTATGTAAAACACACAAAATAGTCCTAGGATAGAGACTGGAACAATGTCAAACACTTTATAAATGAGCTACATTAGTATAAAAGAGCATGCTTCTCTTTACTACTTTGTTTCGATCTCAAAGATAAAGATGGAACTTGACGTCGTAAGAAGAATTCACTCACCCAGACGATGTCCTGCTTTCAAATGGAGGGAAAAGGACTACTAATAACAGTGTCAAGATCCTGGCTTTGACCCCAGTGCTGCTGTATCAGGGCATGTCCTGAGCTAGATGACTCCAAGAATGCTCTAGACATGCCAGGCAGTCCAGAGCAGGCCCCCAAACAGGACCAGGTCAGTGGCCTGGGGCATATCCCCTCTCACCCGCTGGGCACCCTGAGAATGCTGCATGGGTCAGTGAGGACCCAGGAGAGCCAGACAGGACTGGCCTGGGGCGTGGGGGCTGCCCAGGCTCAGTCTGATCCCACTCATCCTGCCTCCTTCCCTTTCCTGTAGGTCACCACGGTCCCTGTGGTTTTCACATCTCCGCTCAGCGCCAGCCCCCACCCCCCCTGCCCTGCCCCTCTGGCACGCCAGCGCCATTCGGCCCAGCATGCTCATCCTACGCCTCCCCTGCAGCCCCGGGCAAGCTCACCATAGGTCAGGCCGGTCATGAGCAGCAGCAGCAAGAGGAACCATAGGAATGTCTTCACAGACGAGAAGCGCCTGGACCACAGGAGGGGACAGCGGGGGGGGGGGAGGGGGGGCGGGGCGTCAAGAGGGCATTCGGGCCTCTTTATCCCCACAGGGAGTCTGCAGAGGCTTTTCCTGAGTGCTAAACTAGAGTTGGAGTGGGGGGCCCTGAAGTGTCTCATCTCCCCAGGGCTGGACACTTTAGAGCTTTACCTGTAGGTCTTGGAATAATGGGGAGAATTCGGACTCTCTGAATTTTACTGATGTTACTTAAAAACATGGGGTCTTGAAAAACCTGAAATTTTCATATACAGAGGTCCTCTAAGCAAGCAATTCTAGGAAAAAAAAAAAATAGAACTCCTTAAACAATGTTTTCTTTTAGAAAAGTGAGGAACCTTCTTCTGGTGATACAGGTCCATCCTTGCCCCTCTCAGCACAGCCGGCCGACCACCCAGCCAGGACTACGGCCGGAGGACCCGGACTTCCTGGCTCAGTCTTCTTTCCTGGCTCTGCTGGCTCAGGGACTTGGGAAAGAAACCCACAGCATCCTCACGCAGCACCTATTCCTGGCTTCTGAACATGCCTCGGAGAACACTGGGTTCTAGACCGCCACGGGGTCAAGAGGGAAACCGAACTTTCTTGGCAACACCACTTGTTGGCTGTAGCCTAAAACCTGACCAGCAGGAGGAAGGCCAGGCTCGGCAGACACAGAAGTGGCCAGACGGGGCTGGCATTTAGCAGGAAGAATCTAAGAAACAGGAACCCGTAATTCCAGAATACTCCCTGAAGAGAGCTATTGGTTTGGAAAACACCTGACTCAGTCCCATCATCTGTCAGGCAAAGAGGGGCTCTGGGGAGTCAGCGCCCTGCTCACTGATAAAAGCTACCCGTGAACTGGGACAACCACCTTCAGAGAGATGACATCTAGGGGTTTAGGAGCTTTATGGGTCCCTTCCGTCCCAGGGCTTCCGGATTCATGGTCAAAGTGGGGGTCTCGCTCACCTGGTTAAAACGAAGACATCGAGAAGAGAGGCAGCTGTCGTCAGGCGATACCAGGTGGTGCCAACCCACCAGTAGAGGAGGCCAAAGAGCCGGCCTACAAGAGGGACCGGCAAGGCCTAAGTGTCACCCTGAGCCAGAGGCCTGCAGGTCATGGTTCAGAGCACCGCTCTGTCCACCTGCCGCCCTCTCTGCCCCCGCCCCCACCCCCAACTCTGAGCTGCCAGAGCACCTCTGTCCTGTCCGAGGCCACCCCGTTCCTCTGATCCCACCTGCCTCGTCTGCCAACATCCTCCATCCGGCTCTGCAGCTGCTCCTGCCCCTCCACCCGAGAATGCTAGAGTGTTACTATGGCTCCCGGTCTCCAGTGATTATTCTAGAATGAGCTTTCCCTGATGGTCCTATGGTCTCTTGGTGGGCTGCCCAACCACAGGGAGAAGCGGGGAGAAGGGGCTGCTATAGAGAATGGAAATAATCGTGCACAGAATAGCCAGCACCCACCTGGAGAAGTGACAAGCGTCCAGAAACAGGAGGCTGCCCAGGAGATGGCGTTCCTTAACCGTGAACCTGAATCACGGTGGTCAGTCTCCGAGTATCCTGCAGGGACAGAGAGGCCACACTCAGTCTGTCCTCACTTTTACGGGCCCAGGGATATGGAGACTGCCTATTAGTTGTCTCCTTTAGACTGTGAGCTGAGACCACCTATCATTCTCCTTTGCATCCCCAGAGCGTCGCACAGGCTGGCCCCCAGCAGGTCGGTAAACGTCTGTCAAAGGAATGAAGTGGTAGGCTTCTGACATTCTGTTTGCTTTGAGCTTCTCGTCTGCATCCCTCTCCTCACCAGCAGTCCTTCAAACCATCGTTCAGAACTAGACTAAAGGGGTCAAGCCCCTCCTCTATGTGAAGCCCCACGTTAAGTACTGGCTGGAAACAAGTCAAACACGATGGAGTTGACCACAGGCTGCTCAGACTGACGGGGACAGGGCAGTCATGGTGTGTTAAGGGCCCCCCAGGCCCGGTTCAGGGTGCCGGGGTGGCACGGGGGTTGGGGGGGATGCCCGGCTGGTCTGTGGAGACGCCCGCCGGATACTGTGCTCTCTCAGGCGGTCAGGGGGTCACCTTCCCTGGGCCTCCCCCATCACTGCCCCAGCAGTCCCGGGAGCTGCTGGAGTGTATCCCCGAGGCGTCACCTACCTGCGAAGTCATCCTCAGAAGAGTAGCCCGAGGAAGAGCCCAGGAAGTCCTCGGAGCTCTTGTTCTCAGCAAGCCCGTTGAGTTTGCTGCTCTCCGTGCCGCCTGTGCCCCTCCTCCTCCTCACCCGCAAGTCCTCACCTGTGGAGGGAACGTGGGGTTCTCCGGGGGCCAAGAGCTGCTCCCAGGAGGCTATGCCACACGGCCTCATGGGGACACCTTGAGGAGCATCTCTCATGGACAGATGGGACTGCCCTTCACTTCTCCCGAGCTCCCTGGGTCCATAGGAGGGTCTCTGGGCCTGGAGCAGCTCCATGACCACTTCGTTGTCTGACGTGGCCTGCGAGTTCAGACACTCGGCTCCCCTTCTAAGGGTTTCTGAAGATGGGGAGCCCCTCCTCTGGCCCAGCAGTGCTTAGGAAACCACTCGGGGAGATTTTGGACCTTAAGTTTCCACTAGAAGCAAAGGAAGCAAAGCCCCAGGCGAAAGGTCTCAGATACTCACTCCAGTAGGAGTCACTATGCAGGTGGTCGTCGAGGATGGAGCTCCTGGCCAGGGAGGAGGCCCGGGGGCTGCCAAAGTAGGACTCCCTGACCACCGACTCGCTGTAGTAGGAGGTGTGTGCGTCGGAGGAGGGGCCCAGCTGGGGCGCAGGGGAGAGGCGCTTCATGTTGCTGGACTTCCTCTTCAAGGTCCTGTGGGAGGTCAGCCAGGAGGGGAGAGGCCGGGAACAGGCAGGTAAGCCCAGCCAGGAATAGGGAAGCAAGCCGCTCTGCCCGCCTCTAGTGAGTGGGTCAGCCCTGTTGCTAGGCAACCAACAGCTTCCTGGCTCCTGCGGGTGCTAACCACAAGTGCTCTCTTGGCTCCCATTAGCTCTACATCTCACCAGCAGTTAAGTGATGGAGTCAGGATTCAAATCCAGGTCCCTAACTTCAAAGTCAAAGTTTCTTCTCGGGCTTCTTAAAGCAGTACCAATTTCTACCGCCCACGGGGCGCCTGGGTGGCTCAGTCATTAAGCGTCTGCCTTCGGCTCAGGTCATGATCCCAGGGTCCTGCGATCGAGCCCCGCATCGGGCTCCCTGCTCCGCGGGAAGCCTGCTTCTCCCTCTCCCACTCCCCCTGCTTGTGTTCCCTTTCTCACTGTCTCTCTCTGTCAAATAAATAAATAAAATCTTTAAAAAAAAAAAAAAAATTTCTACCGCCCACTGAAAACCCGGACCAACCCGACCTGGCCTCCTAGGACCAGCCAAAGCCTCGTGAGCTGCTCTCTGGGCCCCATATCTGCCAGCCAGGCAGGATGAGGCGGGCCCCTGCTTCAGCTCATTTGCTGTGCCCCTCAGACTTGGTCCTCCCCTGGGCGGCTTCGCTGGCCCGGCTGAAGCCTTACAGAAAGTACACCTGGGTCGGGGGCGGAGGGTCCGAAGGGCACACCTATCCACAGCAGAAGGGGCTCCTGTGAACCCCACTTGCACTCTGGGGGGTTCTGGCCTGGCTTGTTCTTGAAGCTGCCTCTCCCCGCGGCCTGTCCCCCGAACATGAGGACGACAGCCTGGCCTGCAACAGGGTGAGAAGAAGCGGCAGTGCTGGGTCCTGGCATCCTCAAAGGTGTGAAGGTCCGCCCTCGACCGGATGGGCATCTGATCTCTGCCCGCTGAGGCGGCAACAGGAAGACGTGCCCGAGCCCTGTGCGACCCACGGTAATGCCCTACCTGAGAGGACTGTCTTTCAACAGGGTGCTCTGGCTCCCCATCACCGAGCTCCCTCCGCTGCTGCTTCCGCTGTCGTCGTCAGCCTGGGAGTAGCGCGTGAGGCGCTGGCTTCGGCGGGACATGACGAGGTAGGATGGGGACCCTCCCCCTGGAGAGACTCTTGGGAGAGAAAGGAGGACACGTGAGGCCTGCGGTTGTTCTCAGCTCATCTCTGGGGACCTGGCTCCCAGGGAACAGTCCACGCCCCGTGCATTCAACCCAGCCTGAGAGGTGGAGACGTGAGGCATTTATTAAGCATCTGCCGGCACCCACCCCGCCGCAGTCCCTGCCCGGCGTCGGGCTCACTTAGTACCCGGGTGGCCTCTCGGGGTGCTTTCCACAGGCTCGTCTAGTTTTCAGTTAACCTGATGCTGAGCTGCCTGAGAGGCAGACCTGGACCTTCTGCAACCTTCGGCACGGAGCAGAGCACGTCGAACACGACAGGCACCCGATAGATGCTCACTGAATGCCTCTGATCGCTGCTGCCTCGCCCAGACGCTCCAGTCCAGCCATCCCACCATGCTGCCCTCCCCCTAGAGGTATGTGTGCGCTCATTCCAACTGTTTCTCTTCGAGGGGACACACTTTCTTTTCCTTGTGGCTGTACTCATTGATTCACAGCGCCAATCCAACTTGGACTGGAGAAAACCTTTTTCCTGGTAAGCCCCACCTCCATCCTGAAGGGGTCTGCATGCCGTGTCCCCTCAGTGATTAGCGTGCAGCAACAGCAGTGCATCCTGGTAGGATGGTGATGGTGAGGACAGAATACTTTGTTAAATGCCTCCTAGGTAACCGGCTCCTTACACAGCCATCTCTGATCCTTGTGAACATGGGAAGTACCATTCCTGTCATTGTACAGGGGAGGACCGTGGGACACGGAGGTGATGGGTGACCTTGCCCACAGTCACCTAGCCTATGAATGACAGACTCAGGATTTGAGCGTAGATCTGACAGGTGTGGGATTTCGGTCAGTCTCTGCTGGAGGGAACAAGTCAGCACGTGGGGTGAGAAATCAAGGCTCTGGAATTGATATCGAGGACTCAAAGGAGGCCAAGGTGAGGAGACCAGGCAAAACACAGCGTTTGATAACCAGAGGAGGATTAATAAGCCTTCCAGATATAAAAACCCAAATTCAAAATCTCAGATGACCAATGTGAGGAGTCTCAACGTGGTGCCTTTGCCTGCCCATGTTACAAAGTCTTTGTTATACTTAGACCCACGCAAGAGTCCCCAGTACTTTTGACTTATTATCACTTCTAATATTCCTGGGTGATCTTTACACTGTTAGGTCCCTATGTCGTACAAAGGGCATAGACTCTAATATTTCCCAACTCAAGGATGTGGAAACCAGAAGTTCTGGTTAGTCCAGCTGGAGAATTCTAGAAAGTCCTCTTCTGAAAAACAAGCAGCCTCACGTCTTGGTCTTACTGGCGTCTTCCCAATTAGGATGCCCACCTAGCATCCCTCCGTGGTTTTAGGCCTGTGTTGGTAAAGGGACCAATTGGTAGTAGCCAAAGCAGGAAGTTGGCCTGGGTCCTTTTCTATATTCCACTCCTTATAAGGTAATTCCACCCCCTCGACTGCCCTCCCCACCTGAAAGCTCCAGAGGCCCATATAGGCTCCTCCTCTTAACCCCTGCCTGCTGAAGGGAAGGAAGCCTTCACCCTGGGGCAGAAACAAAACAATGTTTCTGCCAACTCAAGCCGCTCTTGGCAAGAATATAAATATTCAGAGGGAGGTGTGTGGGGTGGAGGGTGGAAGGGGGTGGTGAAAACTGTCAGCAGTCCCCTCCTCCGCCCTCCCAGTCTTTCCTGTAGTCCTGGTATCACGAAACAGTTTGCAACTGAGCCTGGGTTTCAGAAGATGCGAAAGGTCAAGGCCTGAATCCTCCAAAACACAACAAGGGCCTCTAGGAGCTCAAATCTTTTGCATATCAGAATAGACCCCACCCTCACCAACACACACACCCCAGTTAAGAAACCCTCAAACACAACATCCCTCCCCACTTCTGGGCTGAACCACATCCTTCTCTCAACTCCACCTTTCCCCACACCCCCCTCCACAAACTTATATGGCAGTAACCAGCCAGTCTTCAGACTTAACCTAGATCTCGGGCGTCTTCACACTACTTTCCCTCGTGGGACCTGTAAAACGCTCCAGGTGCTAACTCCCTTCTCCCCTCATTTTCCTTCCGGGCTGAACCTGCAGACATTTGCTTTTTTTTTTTTTTTTTAAACCAACCACGCGCCTTCCCTGCCACTCTGTTCTAAGTCACACTCCCGCCTCCTATTTGGTTTCTTTTTTTAAGAACGGAACAAAATGGGCCTTCCTCCCATTCCCAGAGTCTGACAGGCAGAGGCAGGGAACTGCCTGTCCCTGGAAACCGCCTGCCTGGCACGAAAACAGGCACTCCCCTGGGCCGGTCGGTGGTGGCCCGGCTCTCGCTCCCCTCCTCTCGGGGAGGTCGTGCCCGGGGAAGTCCCGCCTGGAGACATCCGCCCTCCCGGCTGGCCAGTGGGCGGGCTGCGGAGATGAGTCAGGGCGGCTGGCCCCCGGCACGGCGCTGGCCCTTCCCGGCCGGCCCAGGGGCGTGCGCCGGGCGGGGCTGGAGCCCTGCCCAGCTCGGCCCGGAGAGGAAGAAGCAGGCCTGGGCAGCTCGGCCCTGGCCGGAGCGGCCCGACGATGACCCCGGGAGTCGGCGGCCCGCGGGGAGGCGGGCGAGGCCGGCCCACATGCCCTTGCCCCGCACGTCCACCCGCCCGAGGCCCACGGCCGGCGGTTACCTGCTGCTGCCGCGGCTGCTCCGTGCGGGGCCGGGGGCGTCCGAGGCCCGCTGCGCCGCCCGGGCGCGCCCCCTTCCCGCGTCGGAATCCCGCGAGCGGTGCTCGGTGAGGGGCCCCGGGCGCGCGGGCAGCGGCGGCGCGGGACGAGGCCAGCGGGCGGGACGGCGCGGCAGACAATGCGACCCGCGCACAACCGCGCTGCGCCAGTGGGGCCGGCCGGCGCGCGCGTGGCCGAGTGTGTATGTGTGCGCCTGCCAATCAGCGCTGACAGGCCGCGGCCCATTGGCCAGGCCCCGCCCGCGTCACCGCCCACTGCCACCGCCCATTGGGCGGTTTGAACACAAAGGCCCCGGTTCGCCCCTCCCACCGCGTGGGCGGTGGCGGAGGGGGGTGGCCCGGCGCGCCTTGCCCGGAGTCCGCGCGTGGGAGGCGCGGGGGCGGCGGCGGGCCGCTGGAGGACGCTGCTGGAGCCCGCGGGTGCGGGCCCGGCCGGGCCTGACTGCGCACTTGACTCCCGGCACTAGACCCCACCCCACCCCACCTCCGGCTCCGAGCGCGGCCTCGTGCGCCTCACCCCACCCGTGGCCTTCCGGCCGCGGCGTCCCAGCGCCCCGCAAGCCGACTCCGCAAGCCCGGGTGCCGGGGCCTTAAAGGCATCGGGTGACTGGGGAGACACAGCCTCTCTGAGGATGGCCCAAGGAAGTGGGGAGCAAGGAGAGTAGAAGACCCCTGACCTCAGGCCCACCTGGAGGGGTAGCGATAGTTAGCCCTTAGTGGATTGTTAGTGGATTGTTGAAGGCTTGCTAAACGCCCGGCGCATGCGTAATTGTCCCTTTAGCTAAGGCATTTCTACAACCATTTTAGAGATTAGGAAACAGGTTCATAGAGGTTTTAAGGGATTTGCTTAAAGTCACAGCTAGAAAGAGGCAGAATTGAGATTAGGAGATTCTCTTCACATCCAAGTCTGATTTTTCCGCTTTAGGGCTGATTTTGGGATTCCAGACATGGCAGAAGGCTCCGTCACTTCCCCATCTGCTCCCAGGTCCCCCAAGTTTCACTGCAGAAGTTTTTCTCCACTTTAAGGAGGAATTTTGCTGCATTTGATACTGAGAAGGCAAGGCTGGTTACCTCTTCCTCGCCCTCACTCAGATTCGTGTGATAGATAGATAGATGCTGAGCGGGTGAAATGCTGCCAGACTCCAGCAGCCCGCCTCCCGCCAACTTTACAGATGCACAAGTGCACAGCTCAGGAGGAGTCATTTCCTGTGCAAGTTCTTCTAGGGGTAACTGTGGTTATTTCACTTTTAAAGCACCAAGAGGAAGAGACAAATTACAAAATCACTGAGACAGGACAGGAAGGTGTGGTGGGGCGGGGGGGGGGGGGGGGCGCGGGGGGGGTAGGTAGAGGCTTGAGGGAGAGTGAAGCCCTTGGGCTAACAATTTAGCACTCCAGACAAAAACGACCCACCTTCCTGGGCCTCTACTGCTCCCCCTGGAAAAGAGGGGGCCCTCACCTGCACTTGCAGCATCCTGAAGACAAGGGTTAGACCCTGAGGGCAGGGCTGGCTCTCCAGGACCCCGCACGGGGCCTGGCTCGGGTCTGAGTATCTGCTGCCCGTGGAATGAGTGAAATGAGAACGCAAATCAGATGTAGGGCCAGCTTCCCAGGGGCCTCTCTTGATACCTTCTCACCTGGGCGCTTAACTCCCCAGTCCTGTCCTCATCAGTTCCAGCGCAGTGTCCATATCTCACCCTCGCCCCTGCAGGCCTGTTTCACTCTCCGAGGATCCTGGCAGAAGGACCCTTTCCTGGGGCGTGCCTTCTGCCAGCTGGAGGCAGGTCCCTCTTGAACCATGTTGCCTCTCTGGGCCAGCAGAAGGTGAATAATGGCCCCAAGGATATTAGGTCCTAATCCCTGGAGACTGTGCATGTGAGTGAAAGTGGTGAATCTTTGCAGACGCCATTAAATGAAGGATTTTGAGATAGGGAGATTATCTTGCATTATTAAGGTGGCACTACATGTAATTACAAGTGTTCTTTAAGAGAGAGGGAGAGAGGGCGCCTGGGTGGCTCAGATGGTTAAGCGTCTGCCTTCGGCTCAGGTCATGATCTCAGGGTCCTGGGATCGAGTCCCACATCGGGCTCCCTGCTCCTTGGGAGCCTGCTTCTCCCTCTGCCTCTCTCTCTCTGTCTCTCATGAATAAATAAATAAAATCTTTAAAAAATAAAAATAAAAAAAAAAAAGAGAGAGAAGAGGAGAGGGCAGCGGGACCCCGGAGGCAGAGATTGGAGCGATGTTGTCATGGGATAAGCGATGCTGGCCGCTCCCAGAAGCTGGAAGAGGCAAGGACCCCATTCTCCCCTAAAGCCTCGGGAGGGAGCACGGCTTTGCTGACACCTGGATTTCGGTCCAGTGATTTTGATTTTGGACTTCTGGTCTTCTGAACTGTGAGAGAATACGTTTCTGTTGCTTATAAGTCACTAACTTTGTGCCAACTTGTTACCACAGCCACAGGGAAGTAGTGAGAGCCAGGAGAAATTCTTGGCTTCACTGTTCGGGTGTCCCGTGTTTGTGCCGTGCCGCCCATCACACGCAGACCCGTCTCCCCCTCTCTCGGCCCCTCACCTATCTCCCCGGGCTCCCTCAGCAACTCTCACTCCCTCAGGCTCTTCCCTGCGTGGCTGCCATTCATGTGGCCAGTCTTCTCCTCTTGGCCTCCGCCCCGTTCTTGCTCCTCCTTCTCTCCTCATCATTTCATACCCAGTGGCGGGGCGGGAGGCGGACCGCTTCATCCCCTGGAACAAGATCTCAGTGGCTGACCATGCAGCCCCTGCGGTGGGGGCCACGTGATGGCTTTCTTTGTCACCAGGCACTTTTGCCTTGGCAGCCCCTTCCTTTATTTAAAAAAAAAATACTTAAACATATATGTTAGGACCACGTTGGCAGAAAGATGACTGCAATCTAGGCTTGATTCATTCCTAAGTATTTATTATTATGATTATACGGAATTTTTCTTCTGATGTTAAAAGGATGAAAATGAAACCATTTCTGTATCGTGGGCCCTGGGCGCCCTGCCTGCTCTGCTGGAGATGCTGAGAAACAGACGGCTCAGCCAGGGGAGCCAAAATGGGCTCCTGCCCCAGCCCCGGCCTGTGGGGGGGGCCCCCCCCGGCTGCCCCAGCCCCGGCCTGTGGGGGGGCCCCCCTGGGCCACTGAGCACTCTTCTGCTCTCACCCAGAGCAGCCATAGGAAGTCTCACGTCCGTGTAGGGATGATAAAAAGCAAAGTGGGACCCGCAGCTCTGGCTCCAGGCCACCTGCCCCGCTTGCTTGCTCTGTGATCCTGGGGTGGCCACTTGACCTCTCGGAGCCATTTTCCTCACGTGAATAATGATAACTGTCCTGTGCGTGACCTTGGACAAGTCAGCAAGGCCCTCTGGCCTCTCTTTCCTCGTGTGTGAGGTCAAGTGAGGAGAGAAACTGCTTCAACACAAAGGGCTTTTGCTGCCGGAGATCTTTGGGAAGACGAGGAGGTTGGGCTGTTGGTCTGTCCTGGACTCATAGTCACGTCGGGGAGATGTGACCGTCCCACATGGAGGTGGGGTGACTTGTGCACCTGTCCGCCTGCCCCAGCTCCAGACTCGTGTGCCAGGGACTCAGTGTGCCCATGTCAGAGGAACACGAAAGCGACAGCAGAGCCTCTAGTCACTTCGCTGCTGCCAAGGCCACCTCTACTTCTCCCTCCCTGCTGTCAGCATGGGTCAGCAGACAGGGTGTCGGCGTCTGTCATTTAATCACCCCAAGCAGTGTCCTTGCTGGGGGCGGGATGGGGAGGACTTTAATGTCAGGCTTCCTGGCAGCAGGAACACGTTTGGCAGCTGTGGAGGGCGGTAACCTCAGAGGATCCTGGTGCCCTCCCACCCCCCAGGGGCTGTTTCTCTATCCTGTTGGGGATCTGATGTGGGCTCCCAACTCCACCCTGCCCCGGCTGGCAACAGGGCTCCATATTTACAGGATCTTTCATCCCAAGACCTCAAAGAGCTCTGTCATCTGGTGACAAGCCCAGTAAAGCCTGTTTTATGGAAGGGGAAGGCCAGTCCGAGGAAGGAAAGGTGCTGGATCCAGGTTTAGTAAGCGGGCCAGCCAGGCTCTTATGGGTGAGCGTGCCTGAAGTCATCTCGGTCCCCTCACGCCTGTTACAGAGCCAGGCTCCTAAGAACTGCTCAATAAACACGCATCAACTAACTGCCTCACTGCAGCTCCCCGATCTTCAAACACCCCACTTCCTAGTGTGGCGGCCGCAGAGCCCTGAACGCCCCACTTGCGCTCCCCAGAGCTGAGCCGCCCTCGGCCTCACCCAGGGCCCCTCCCACTCCCACACCTTTGCTCGGGCTGTGCTTTAGCCTAGAATGCCCTTTCCCCATTTTTCTGCCTGATGAGATACTACGAAGCTTTCAAGGATGGGCTCAGATAGCACTTCTCCCATGGAGGCTTCCTTCCCTGTCTCCAAGTTCCCAAGGCAGAAAGAATGGCTCCTGCACCATGTTCCCACATTCCCCATCCCCTCTATGCAGGCACGTCCCACGCTGTGTTCTGGAATGGGACTAACAGTCACCCACGGCCCCTACAGATAGCACGAGCCCTCAGTGTAAGCTTCGATGAGTCACTCATTGGCCCCCGCACGGCACCTGGGTGCCTGGAGGAATGGCTTGCCGTGCCTCCGGGGTCAGAATGAGTCAGGGGTGGCGCTAGAGCCTCCACGGGTCATGACTCATGGGCTCATCTAGAGGGACTGGCCCGATACTTCCATGAGGTCGTCTCTCCTGGAAAGGACTCTCAGCCCCTTGACACCCCCACTGCTGCTCTACCTGCTGTGGGGACATCGCTGGGCCAGTGGTTCCCAGCGCAGGCTTGACACTCAGACGCTCCAGGTGAACAGCGCGGGCCATTTAGGCTTTCTCAGCCTCAATGTTCTCATCTGTAAAATGGGGATGACATTGATGTGTCTACTTCCTAGAAGCCTAGCCCAGTGCCTGGCACAGAGTGAGTGCTCCATCAGTGTTAACTACTTTTTAATTTACAAGCATCTATGTATTCTAGGCCTGCTGCATCCCTGCTTTGCCAGGGAGTAGGACCCAGCCCTGCTGGAGAAGGGCGTGAGGAAGCAGGTCACACAGTGGGGCCCCAGGAGGGACACAGGCCTCTAGGGGCCCCCATGGTCAAGGCCTCAGTATCATT